CATCATAATCTCTGCCCATTTTTTCTTTTAAATAGTCATTTACGTTCAATAAAAAATAACATTACATTTAAAATTTTAATAAAAATATATAACATTCTTAATATAACATGTTTCAGGTGTAGTTTTCAACCCATCATCGGGTATCCTTATAATTTGTGATGTATGTTCCTAATTTATGACTGGAAGGCATCTTAGTTATTTGTCCACTTCATCCACCCCGAAACTTCACGCACTAAAAAAGTTAAAAATTGCCAATATGTGCGCTTAAAATTAAGAATATGCGATACCCAAAAATATTGTTAGCAACAGATAACTTTTATTTTCGTTATCTTAATTTTTTACACTGTAATACAAAATGCCTATAATAAAAATATATTTTCGAAAATGATAAACAATAAACATTTTAAGCTAGACAACCAAAAGCATTGTTACAAATGCCGTAATATTCAGCATACTTCACTAGTTCATGCGTAAGAATAAAGTTCCAGGAAGTAAATCGATTGTAGCGAAATCAATCTTATCAAAAGACTGTCGGAAATATTATGTTGGTATTCTAACATTGGCATGACTTAATTCACTTTCCTTATGAAAGAGAAATACACGAAAATATGTGACTTCGATCCACTTCCACACAAAAACCTCTGATAAATGCCCTTAAGTATGCCGTACAAATAATAATATGCAGTTAATGAAAAAAATCAGAAATATGCGATTATGCAAAATAAAAATGGGCTACGTTTGTTTTATTTTTGGAGATAGGTTAAGTTATATACATTTCCTTTCGATATGCGCAATATATAAAAATATGCAATTGCATGAAGTTCCGCGGTCTACTTATAACATGTACAGAAATTTGATCGGTGCTTTTCATTCATAAGTAAATACTAATCATAGAGAAAAATATGGAAGATCTATAATGTTATATTTACAATCTCTGAAAAGTCATAAGGCTGTCTTTTGCTATCTCTGTCAAAAATCGAGTTTAATAATCTGCAAGATTACTGCGTGTTTCAAAGACGGAGATAGATACAAACCCAGTCTAACCCCAGCATGAGTACTCATCGCCACACACGTGGCACTGATCTTCTATTAGTACACGTGTCCCTTTCTTTGTCTTACTCACAAGACCCACAACTGTTAGTTCTGTATATGAGTACCTTGAGAGCCAAGTGTTTCGGCGGTAGTGCATACTCTCTGGTCTAGACCGCTCGACGCTACGCAAGACCAGCCAAATTGTCAACTAAAAAAATCAAAATTTTCATAAATTGTAAAAATGCGGATTTTTTTGTCATTCGCATGGGTTTAAGCGAATTGAACGTCGAAAATGCGGAAATGTGGAAACTGTCAGCACTGAGGGGGAGGGGAGGAAGAGGGGGATTCCGGGTTTAATTAGCATTCCATGATATTGTATTGTACGAGAATTGAATTTTAATTGGTCTCGAGTTTAACTTTTAGAAATACCTGTTGTTGAGGCTGCAAAATACTCGTAAGATAAATTGGGAGAGCAATTAGCAGAAGCTACAACGAAACATTGCCTCTTCTATCGATAGTTTTTATCAGACAAGAGTGTTCTGGAAAAGAAACAACACACAATTGACAAAGATTGTTACTTGGAGAAAGAATCAACGAGTATTGAAGAGATTGTCACGGTTACCTCTGTTCAGACGAAATCAAACGTTTCTTTACGAATTTCGACGTTTTTTACTTCACGTTACGACTGCGTTCAATTCCAATGAAGACAATGCGAGCTGGTAGCGCGTCGTGGCCTCTGAAGTGGAAATCGCTGGGTTCCCAGAAGTTTGACAATGGTATGTTTTACGCGGGGCTGCCTAGATACAGGGAGCTGATGCGATCTTTCGGTGACGTTCCGAACTAACAGGAAACAGTTGACAATCCACAAGGAATCTTGTACGAAAGAAGTGAGTATTTGGTCAACCGGGAAGAAAATCGCGCGAATTTTTTTAGTAGAATTAGACCTCCTGAACGCGAAGTTTGAACTGTATGATCCTTCCCTCTGAAACGCCTTCAAAGAGCAACAAGCTGCATTGTTCGAAACGTGGCGCCAAATTCGAAACAATTTGGCGGTCAATGCCGACACCTCTATTGGGCATTGTACGATTATATACATATCCTGACATGTCATACATGGCGTATGGTGTATTTATGTGACAAATATATTATTATTATAATTAATAATAATAATAATAATAATAATAATAATAATAATAATAATAATAATAATAATAATAATAATGCAGGCAAACACATGATTTTTAACGTATCGCGGGCCCACGAAGCGTTTCGTGGGAAGCATCAATTTTTCGGCATTGGAAATATTAAAAACTCTTGGAATTTTGTAAAGCCAAGAATTTATTTAATCATAACATACGTATGTTCGTTGCAATTCTAAACCATATAATACATTACAATAAAACATGATTTTAGGCTATTACAGTAAATTTAGGGTATGGCAAGAATAGATTGTGTGAATAGTTAGAATTTAGAACTGCTCCCATTTTGTACACGTTTTTGCTAACATACACAAAAATGCTCTTAAAAATATTACCCGTAAGCTGTTCTTAGGTGATTTTCTCTAATAAAATAATTTTCGATTAGTTCCGAACATTCTGTCCTAAAATCTACAACTACATTTGATTCTTTCTCGGATGTGCTTGCCACTTCGATATTTTTGTCCCCTAATTTTTGAAAAGATTAAGACTCCACATACTCAGTGAAATTTGTATCAAATTTTACCTCTGCAATTTCTCTATTACTCCTTTTGTAGACGAATACATAAACATTAAATTATGATTTTTTGTATATTTATGTGAATAAGGTGTTAAGTTTAATAAGAATAAGTTGTTACTCACATTCATTTGAAAATCGCTATTTGCAAGCTTAAGAACGTAACTGTGAGAAGTCGACCGTCATAAATTAAATGTGCTTTCATTTTGTAGCATTACTCACAGTTTGGTTTTGTACGCATTCACTTGAAGTTCTTCAAATTTAATTCGTTTACCACAAAAACCACGTTTTTTGAAATTTTCTTACAATATTCTAGCAGAATGCGAAAACAAATTATCAGTTCCCTACCGTGGTGCGACGATTAATATGTGGTGCATAGGAAGTGGTCTAACCTTGAGTGACGGATCTGCACACACGCATACTCGCGGTTACTCAAATACTTTGTAGGGACTAGTTGAATGTGGCTTCGCCGACGCTGTCAACTGTTTTAAAATAATTTTCTTGTGTTGAAAATGTATGTCATTTGTAGCTTTGTTCAAATAAATTCTTAGTCTCTAGCATTGTACATACCAATGAACCGTTGTAACTAATTATGTTTTATTCCAGTTTAAAAATTTACAATATTCAATGGCGTTGTATATTACCTCTATAGTGGATATGAACTGGTGATATTGCAATTTCAAAATTATAAACACCGTTAAAATGCAAGTACGAATGATTTTGAATGGTTAGAATTTAGTACAGCAACATTTTTTACGTTTTTTCCTTATATTCACAAAAATGTACATAAAAAATAACCTGTAAACTGCTCTTCAGCATTATTCTCTAATAAGATCATTTTCAATTAGTTACAAAAAATCTGTCGCAAAATCTTCTACAACTACATTATAAACTTCCCCGGATTTTCTAAACACACATTTTTGTCCCCTAATTATTGATTTTGAAGAGATTAAATCTCCACAAAGTCAGTCTAATGGTGTTTACTTGCAATGCAATTGCTCTATTTATCTATTTGTAGACGAATCTATACAAACATTAAAAGGCAACTGCTCTGTATGATTATGTAAATAAGGTGTTAGTTACGTTTTAATACGAATATGTTGTTATATTCATTTAAAAATCGGTATTTGCTCGCTTAAGAATGTAAATATGAGAAGTCGAACGTGAGAACGTAAATGTGCTTCTGTAGCATTGTTCTCAGTTTGCTTTTCTCCGTATTTACGCGAACTTCAATAAGTTGAAAGACAATACCGTTCGTAGCAGAGAGTATATAGCAGTATATAGCCCCATAGCACGTCACACGCAGTTTTTAACTGTTTTTGACGTAAATAAATGAATTAAAATAAAATAAGCATTGAGGGAGCAGTTGCCCCCTCCCACTGAATCCCGCGTCTGTTAGTAACAGTGAAATTTTATGTAACATGAGTTTTGCACATGATCACTGGTTAGGATAATATATTTGACATTACGCTTTTAATTAAGATATCGTACAACATTAATTAATTTTAGAGCTACGTCTGCGACAGATACAAGCTTCAAATCTTATTCAGTTTCTATTCTATTAAAGTAATTCTGTCAGCAATATTCAATATGCAAATTAATATATTGTGTAGCTTAAGATGGGAGAGATATGATTGTTTTTGTGAACAAGTTTGTGTAGTTCCAAGATTCTTGTTCATGTAAAAGACTTAACTTAATTTGAATTTATATTCACAATACCTTAGTTACTGTCTTAATGTACTGAAATTTCTTGATCTTGTGATGATAACTGGCGTGTTGTTTTGATAATGTTACAATATTAAGGAAGTAATGATCATGAGTTGTATTTTCACAATTTTCTAAATTCATGATTTGAAAATTCAATTGGGCATTTGATATTCAGTCCACAGAAAAGTGATTAATTTGTATCCATTATTCCTTCTGTTGATTTTGTAAGAATTAAATTAAGCTGTTTATTTTGCAAATAAATACTTATATTTACAAAAATTACAAACAAATATTGTATAATACATGAAATAACGTTTTTTAAATTTTGCACTTCCTTGATTAAAGTTGTTTTTACTGACTCATAGTGACATTTATTGACTTCTAAATTGCCTTACACATTAATTATTCACAAAATAATAAATAAATTATATAAATAAAATTCTTAAGCTCTGCCATATTGATGTTAGGTAAAGTAATTTTAAATATCCCGGTTGTCACCTCAGCTCCATTTTCGGTGTCTGAACACCTATAGATGCTATTGGCTGGCTAGAGACGATAATGGACGTTTCCTGGCTGAGTAGAGGAACTTTTCTTCTCTCTCCACGAAAATAAGTAGCGTAGGTTCAAACCATAAACGTGTGAGTACTCTGTGCACTGCACAGTGTGTAGATGTGGTGTAGATTCTGTGCGTTCAACACATGATGTAAAGGAATGTAAAATAATTTACATCATGCTTTAACATTGAGTGTTATCTGTAGCACTCGTATTCAACTCTTATTAATCGTAATAATCTAGTATTTCTAATAAAGTGTTGTTACTCGTAATAATTAAGTATTACAATACAAGATAGTGTGGGTGCACTGTGGAAATGGTGTTGACGATGTATTTGTCGTCAAGATTGGTTTTACCTCTGAAAGGGACACGAGCTATCAGTACTTCAGTTGTAAACAATGGTAAAAGAAATTTTAGGAAATTTTTGCTTCACAACAAGAGGGGTTCGCGGAGTTTCAAAGAAGAAAGAAAAAAGTTGAAGGGAAACGAACCCACCGATGTCCCAGTTTACCGTAAGGATTCTTTAATGATATATCTGGAAATCTTAGGCTAATGATTGCGTATAAATTTACGGATTTTACAATTTCAGATTATGGGGTCAGGCCCACTGGTTATCATGATGCCAAAGGAAACTTTATAGCTGTTCCCGAAATGATTCCAGAACTAATGGTACCCGATCTGACAGATTTTAAAGTAAGTCAGACATACAATGTTTGGGAGTTTCATTGTTTTAGTGACCATAAGCACTTTGAGAATGTAGAAGTATAATTTTCACAATGAATATCAAGTATAAAATAATAAATCGGTAACACAGTTTTTGTTTCAATATCAACAAGATCACCCTTAACAGACTTCATCCTTCTTATTTCTTTATTCTTCTTAAAGTTGTTTGCAAGTACTAATAGAAACCTTCAGCAATCAATGTTCAACTGTGCCATCACAATAAACACACTTCCGTATCTCTCTATCTCAGTTGTCAATAGAAATGATCATGAAATTGTTTACCCACGAAGTATTCTGTGTAGCGATATACGATTTAGAAATAATATGGTACTACCTCATACTCGTGAAGTTATAAATGTTAGAAAATCTAAAAGCAACTTTCATAAAAAAAAAGGAATAGGAATTTCCAAGTATGCCTGATCAAGACTGGCATATGTAATGGTAAAAGAGACTTTTCTACTGGAAGATGTAAGACTTCAATTGAAGCTGCCCAATAAAAATGCGCTGAGAGTAGTGCTGAACAAAGAAAAAAGAGACAGAAAGAAATATGGCCAGATTTCTACCATACTGATGCAATAAGTAGAGAACGAACAGAGGCAGGGTACAAGCAAAGGCATGTGATTACATGCCTGGTAGTGCACAGGTTTCAACACCTGATATGACAAACATAGTTTCCACGAACCAAATGACAAATGTTTACGTTGTGAATGTGAAAGACAGTGTGTGCATTATCATATAATAAATTGCACCAAATGGACCAAATCTGTAACCATGGATGCCATCAAAAACTAATTGCACTGTTGTGCACATTTCCTTCAGTATAAATACAAATAGAAAGTGTGCAGTTTTTTCTCTGATTATTATATTATATTTTGTATGTCATTAAATTCATATTAGGGAAATATTGCAATATTAGTAATTGTATTAGTTTCAATGCTTGAAGTTTCATTTAGCTTTGTATTAATTATATTATTTATTAGTGTTCTAAAAAATTGTTGAAATAAGCCCGTAACATATTCATAATATGTATTCTCTTGTTTCAGTTAAAACCATATGTATCATACAGAGTACCTGATGTAGTTCAGTCGGAATTTACTGCCCAAGATCTCTTTGATGCAGTTTACAGCAGAAAGATTGTGGAAGATTTTAAGAACAATAAGCTTGATTCAAATGGAAATCCAACAGAGCCTAGTGAAGAAGAAGCGTTGACACCTGAACAAGCTAAAGAACGTGCTCGACAAACTGGAAGTGACATTTTTGAGTATTAGAAATAAATTCATTAGTTGAGGTTTATAATTTGTAGTGCAACTGACTGTTAAATATTTGTGAAAATATTTATAGCACATCTTTTTGTGAATTAAAATAAATGTGTGAATTGTTTTGGAAAATAGTGAAAACAATTTTTTTTTTTTTTTCCCCTTCAGAATTCTTGAATGTTCTTTAACCCTGTATAAAATGCTTCAGTTCTGTTTTGAGAAGCTTTTTCCAAAAGGAATCAGATGTACACATGTACTTGCTTCATGGTTTATTTATCCTGCTTATGTAAGGTATCTGCTGCTAATGGCAATGAGAGATTATCAGCAGTGTTGTCTCACCTTATACAACCCACTGTTGTAATTGTGAATCAAGTTTTTACTACTACAACCGTACACCATGCACCAACTAATCTTCAATGTCATTTACATTTCAGTGCTACTTGGTGACATTAAAGTTCCAGTGATGAATAGCAGTGGCTTCTCAGATGTCACAACTTGAACTTTTGTTGCCTGTACTTGAAAATATGTAAAGTGGAGAAATGTAAAATTTTATTTGTAATTGATTGCTGAGGAATTTTGCATTGATGGAAATCTTCTTTGTCACTTGACAATATTTTTTATTCATTTTACACTGGTTTTACATTACATTTGGGGTTGTCCCTAATTACGTAACGCAAATTTAGAGTATTTTGAATACCACCTCTCTCCCCTGTAATGTGCAATTGAACACCCCATAATAATTAATTATTATACATTATATATATAATAATTATTATTATTATTAATAATGATATAATGCTTGGGACAACCCCCCCCCTTCCTATGTAAAAGTAGAACTAAATTATAGTTCAGTAAAAAAAAGTATTCATTTCATTCATTCAGTAACACCTTCTTTTGTTTGATTGTTTTATGTTGTTTTACAACAAATTAATTAATAATATTTTCACGTTTTAGTGTGAAAGAAAAAGGAAGTATATCAACAAATGTTAAACAAAGTAAAACAGATTTCAGTGTTACATAACACTAATGGAATATCTCCTATATAACGCAGCCTCAAACCCCCGCCCCCCTGCAGTGCTACGTAATTTCTTGCACAATGCAAGAAAGTGGAGTAGTTCTGGTGTCATTTTGATCACTCACCAGTCACAGATTAAAGCCCTTAGATGTGTCTCTATAAGACTCATTCAAAAAATGTAGAAGATTATAAAAGAAAAATATAGAATAAAAAATAAAAGATACGATATGTCGAAAAAATACAAGTCTGAGATTTCAAAAGATGAAGAAGTGTATCAATGCCTTTTTTGTTTAGAACCATTTCAAACGTCGATGGGGGGGAGAACCGGGTACAGTGAAGAAATGGGCTCAAATAAACTTTATTAATAATGCAGAATATTGTTTATACTCACTGCTGTTAGGATGTTCAAAACAATGAAGATTAAATAAAAGTTAGTGTATAAATGAATCAGCATTGTAGAGATGTTTTCTATTTGAGTACAACAATATTCTAGTTTCATTTACATGTGTCACAGCATGCCTCACTCCAGTCACAACTTGTGCCTTAAAGGGGCAGGTTGTGACAAAGTGCTCTGCTGCATAAAAACGGTTTACATATCATTAAAAACCTTATGTATTTTAAAAACAAATGTATGGAAATTTATACAAAGAACCATTCTATTTGTTCCATTTATTATAAGTTTTTAAATTATGGTTCTTACATCTTCAAAAATTAAATTAAAACTGTCACAACGACCCCCGTCTCCACCCTATGCTTCAAAAATAATAACATGTATGTTACCTATTTAACTAAAAATCTATATCCCCCCCCTAGAAAAATTATCGGCTAGATTCTCTCCTTCATAGAATAGGTTGGATGAGTGTGTAGAGCAATAAATTAATGTCAAAATTAATAATTTGACTGTTTTATTTACGAAATAAATGCAAAGAAGTTAATGGTCGTTTGGTGTTAAAGAACAGTCTAAGATATAGCAGTCTTGTTAGTTTCAAGAATAAATATTTAGTCTGTTGTCTCTTAAAAAAATCTTGTCTTTTTGAGAGCGTTGAGTTGATTAGAGAGTATCATCTCTTAATTGTTTTAAATGCAGGTTCAATCTACAAAGTAAGAAAAATAAATCAAAAAATGGGATAACTCTAGAATTCTAAAGAGGTTGGTAACAAAAAGTTAAGAGCCCTTCCAAACTCAATAAGTACAAACTAACGTACCCGTGCGAGAACTCTCGCATGTTAAATTCCATTATCTTCCCTGCCTTTCTTTGTCCATGTGAAGAGTGTAAGTTAACGAAACGTCTTTGTTTGTTTAAAAAAATTAAAAAGGTAACTTCCAATGTACTTATAGAATTTAAAATTAAAATAAAGAACAATGAAGTTGATGTTTGAAACAAACTTTGAATAATGGTTTATTCAGAATTATAGACATAGTTCTTGGAACAGTTCACAACAGTTCCTTAAACACATTTGAAGTAAATAAACCATCTTCCTTGATAGTTAGCTTTTTGTTTTCCTTGATAGTCACTAAAATATGACAAACATTTTTTTTACTTTCAAGAAAGCTAAAGTAAAGATGTCCATGCGAAAATACAGGATCAGGAAAGCACCATCCTACTATTTGGAATATTATTTAACTTTATTGCCGAACTTAGAGAGGTACACCCTTGCAATTTAATTGCCAAGAATATCAAGAAAGTAATATTTCACGTTCATTTGCAGATTCTGCATGTCTCTGAACAGGTGGGGTAGTATCAAGGACAGGAGCAGCAAAATGTAATAGAATGTCCAAGAATATCTTATGCTGTAGGTTACGGTATTAGGAACTGATTTTAAACTTTAAGGCCCTAAAACTCTTCGTTTAGGAGTAATTTGATTATATGCATGTTGACAATACTAGTAGAGTGTTGCGGGTTGCATTTAAAATTGATATTTAGCTGTTTTTTCAACAAATCCTTCCCATTTTTAAACTCAAAATTCAATTCTTCACGTCTCCGTGAAATTCTCTTCCTTTGGGGACTTCATTTATAAATATTAGTTGCCTGAGGGACTCGCAAAAGGTATGTATATTACTGAAATATTTCGGAGACCATCTTTACATACTTTGTTGTCCGGTCCATACTTTGTTCTCCGCGCCATAAGCACAGATTACACTGTTTCGCCCGTCACGCTGCGTCCTTGCTCTGGGCGAAACATCCTTCCGTTGAGAGAAGTGACAAGAAGGGAAATCTTACTCGTATTCCCCACCGTTCCCCACCGCTTCAGAGCCCCATCAAACGACCCGCTGTTGCAATTACTCTGTGACGTAGCTGAAGCGTATCTTCGGGTTTGGGAGGGGAAGTGGCCCCTGATTGGTCGGCAACCCGTCATGCGATTGTGTTTGGCCGATTGCGTTCTGACGCGTGTTTTTTTAAAATTCTTATGGAGAAGAAATATATCATAAGTAATATCACATCTCTTGGAGTAATATCAGTGTGACCATTTCACGAATTAACACATTATTTTCACCGAATGGCTCATTAAAATGACACTAATTACGAGAAAGAGAAATGTTATTTAAAAAAGCTACTGGATTAAGTGAAAATGTAATTCAGCTTCGATTTATCACTGCCTCCTGGAATAACATATGTCCAGGAATAATATGAATAACACTTTAATATTGAAAATGATTTCAAATATGTTTCATTTTTATGGTAAAAAAAACTTTCAAAAACCATTATAAATTCTCGGCTATCCGGGAGACGCCGCGTCGTTGGCCGGGAGGCCGACATGGTTTCGCCTGACATGTCGCAGGCTTCCTCAGGGCAGTGACTGCTGGAGGAAGCCTGCGATATGTCAGGCGAAACGTCGGCCTCTCAGCCAACGACGCGGCGTCTCCCGGATAGCCGAGAGTTAATGGATTCCAGCCGCGGAAGCTTACGTGTACAAAAACCATTATAATAAAACGACTTAAAATAACATTTATCAAAACCAATTATTGAAGTCGTAAGAAGTTGAGCTCTCCATGACTTGGGATTCCATGGAAGAATATTAAATGGAAGTATTATAAAAATAAGTCGTAGAAGCTCAAAGAGCGGGATTTCTGAATTTCGAATGGATAGTACCATTATATCCTGGATTACATGTACGTATGTCTAGGTGGTGTTGATTGAACACACATTTGTATTCATTTAAGTATTTTTCCCTGTATAATTTTGGCCGTAACTTTCCACATAGTTTTGATTGTATATTCTTTGTATTCACCATCTAATCTTCTCATATTAATTGATCAGTCTTTCAAAATAGTACTTTCTTTATTTGTAGTTTGTGCTGTCAATTTGTATTTTCTTTGTTCACAAAATTCTAGAAATTGCTTCCGTATACTTTCTCTATTTCTTTTGTTTTTTTTCTGCATTGAATCTCTATTAATAGATTCAATTTGAGAGTTTGAAACATTACCAGAACGACTCATTTTAATGTTATATTAAAACTCACAAAGTATTAAAGACATGAAACAATTGATGCCGATAACAACATAACACAAATAAAGTTATTATAGTGGAGTGCAAAAGCGATAATTTATTATAATGCGATAGACATTGTGATTGGTAAAATTAGAATATATTCTTGCTTAGCATTTGTTACTTAAGATACATGCATAAGTGAAAAATCAGTGAAATATGTTTGATTAAATACTACTAACACAATGTAAATACGTTTTCCAAAAACTACAATATTGAAAATAATTTATTTTTTATTAATGAAACCTGTTCTCCAAAATTAGATCTTTAAATGAGATGGTGTACATTTTTTTCAAAATAAGAGTTGTTTTCGCTTAATTGTACGTGAAATAAAGGCAATTTTAAAAACAAAACGAGAAAGTATGTGATTCAAACTATTTTCGTCGAATATGCCATATTAGAAATATTGTACAGTGTTGCAGGCTACACTCAGCTCATGCTACATGTGATACGATTTATAATCCGAAAATATTTTTGCTTGAAAGTCCAGTGATTAGATAAAATTAATAGTTGACAAAAGATTTTAGGTTGGGGGTCCTTCATTTTCCTTCCTGTGATTCCGTTCCCGGTCCATCGACAGATGAATGTCCTCGCCTCTTGATGCCACGTATTTACAATTCGTCAAGGTTGTGTTTGAAGAGAAATATTTGTATTTCGGTTCTGTCTGTTTGCATGTAGTATTTGTTTTCGCGGTGTATTTGTAGAGAAAATTCAGACAATGGATTTTGTTTGTTCGGTTTTACTGAACCATGGGAAAAGTTGTGCAAAGGTTATGTCGCGTTCCGAAGTGTCAACGCAGAAGTGAAGTAATTTCGTTTACTGGTGGGTCTTAATCTATGAAACCTCAGTTTTGGTCCGCTTTGTACTTCCCATGTAAGAGAAATTCTGCAAACCCGTTTACTGTGCTTAAAAGAAAAAATAAATTTGTCTTCTAGCAATATGTCAGAAGAAATGAAAGATTTTGATAGGAGATGATGGCACATCAGAAACTTCAGAAATAATATCCGCCAATATATTATACCCTGCTTTCTGTGTCATTTGGTGCTGATATTGCTTTGCCTCTGGATCATGGGATACATGTGTTCAATTGTGTAAGTGTTAATTTATCAAACATATTGGTTTTGTGCTGCATAATATCTAATCATTCTGCCCATAAAACTGAATAAATACAGAGACACCGACATAAACCTTATATAAGAGAAGTTTTTTTCTTTCTTCTTATTTAAGAACATGCTTTGTAAACATTAGTCTGGTCACAGTATTTTACATTTATCTCAGATCTCACCGTTATATTTTGACGGGTTCCCACTAGTTTATCTATAAAAAAACAACAACTGAATGTTCGCTCCACCAGGCTGAACTATCTGTTAAAAAATACACACACACACCCAAAAAAAAAAACGGGATGAATCAGTGACCATCCGTCACATTTTTGAAGGTGTATAACTGTTCGAAAATGATTTGAACATTTGCAGTTTTCGAAATTCCAGAGGTTTGAATGGAAATTAAATACACGCCATTTTATTAAGCTGCTTCACTCTATTTAAACAAAATATTACGGGAAAAAATTTGGAGCCGTTTTTGAGAAAGTCTTGTTTACGTATGTTCTTTAAATTGTCACTATTTCACTCAAAATTATTGAAAATTAATCATGTTTCAAAATTTGTACATGACATATAAAGAACTGTTTTTGAGGAACATATTTCATTTACAAAATAATCTATTCAAAAAATTAGGTAGTGAAAGGCAGCGAAAAAATTTAAAATTTTCGAAATTACGAATGTGCTGAGAATCGAAAGTAACTTGGACCTGCACCATTTTTACAGAGATTTGTTATGAGGAACAGCGGCAGATTTGGGGAGGCTGGGCGCCAGCGAAGATTGAAAAATTATTTGTATATTAAAAAGTATTGGATTATTTTCTGCGATCTTACGAATCTCAAAAGAAGCAATTCGGACCAAAAAAAAAAAAAAAATAAAACTAATATTTTCACCTTTTTGTAATAAATACCATTTGTTACCATTAGAAACTATTTAGTAGACTTAGACTTCACTTCGGTACGTGGGGATTTTGCTCAAACGATGTTTACGTATTGAATAACTTGGCGAACCGACACCTTCAGTTTCATAACACAGTGTATTATTTACAATACGAGTTTAGAGCTGGGCATTCATGTACAGACTTCCAGATACCGCCAATATTTAAATCGTGTGTCTGGATGTGATGTGTCGAGTGACTTGCGTTATTCTTTCTATAATTTTAAATTTGGTTGCTCTTTTTTTAAATTCATTTACGTAGTATGGTAGGCTAGCGAGTTACTCGCCTTACTCCCTTAAAATATTTGAAGTAATTATTCAATATTCTTTAACAGTTGGCTTTTCGTGATAGTCACAAAAATCTTTAAAAATCTTTTTACTGTTAGGAAAGCTATTGTAACATATTAGCCAGCGTGCCTCATGGCATCTATTTGGGGACGCTTGGGAAAGGATTAGCCTAGCCACAGGAAGTAGGGTTTTTCCGTAATGGGAAGAACGCGGAAACGGGAGACACAAGGCTTTGGGAGTTTCCGGCTTATAGAAGCTTTTCACTGTTATAACAAGCGAGGGGGTGGCGTGACGTAGTAGGTCACGTGAGCCTCGCCTATATAACAGAGTGTACAGAGCCAGTGGGTGGGTTCTGGAGACAGCGGGAGAACCTCGTGCGTGTGCACAAAACTTGGCGCCACGACGGTGCATATGCGAGCCAGGCTCGCGAGGCTGGAGTCATTAGTTGACGAAGCCTGCGGACTTTATGTCCTTGGGTGACTGCGGTCACGGGGGAGCGATGCTGTGTGCGTGCTCCGAGGTGAAGAGTGGTTGAGTGCCACGATTCACGCCGATTCTCAATCGGATAAGATCGCTCCTGCGATCGAGGCAAACCAGCCGTTGGTGCGCCAGAACGGACTTTGTGTCCCAGCGTGACATCCGGTCACGGAAGCTAGGCTTTGTGCGCGCTTCAAAAGTAGGAGTGGCGAATGCCACAATCAAAACCATCTTCAATCGGGTTTTGGATCGCTCCCGCGATCCGGGGATAGTAGGTCTATCAGAGCTAGGGTGTAAGTAGATTATTAAGTGTATATATTTGTTTTGTTTTCTTGTTAATAAATATATTTGTTATACGAAAGCTCTGTGTCTGTGGTCGCTGTGAGTATCCATGACGTCACACTATGCGACTGAACCACCAGATTTGAAAATTTCACCAGATCACTGCCGATAACGAAAATACTGGTATAGGTAAAACACAATCCAAACCTTACGAGACACGTCTTCGCTACACACCCACATCCCTCCACAAGTACCTACACAGCTCTTGTAGACCTCGGTAAAACATTAACTAAATGTTTTCATTACACGCATAAGAAACAATCATTGGTATCAAACAACTATTAAACATATTTCTAGTCGTTGGTGAGAGAGCAAATATTGAATTAATAATTACGCAAGTAAACGTCATCAGTGTACACACAAAGCATTAATGGTGTAAGGTAGAGGAATCTGAGTCTTCTAAGCGTGACGTCACAAAGATAGCCACCATCACCAAGAGTTGAAATCTAGGTGGCATTGGTGTATCGACAAGCGCCAGAAAAAAACAATACAATGTCCAAAAATATCGTATCGTGTAGGTTACGGTGTGAGGAACGTTTCTTCGAGGACATTGGTCTCAAAATTTTAGGTTTTGAGGCCCAATAACGCTTCGTTTAGGAGTTATTTAACGATATAGCTGAATACGGCGGGTTGCATTTGACATGAATATTTAAATGCGTTTTTTTAAAGAAATCCGTCAATTTTTTAAAAAGTCAAGTGCTATTTGTCACATCTTTGTGAAATTATCTTTCTTTAGAGACTTAATTTACAAAGATCGGTTGTGTGTGAGAGCCGCAAAAGTATGTATACTGCTCAAATAATATGACGATTTTTACTGTGTCCAATAATGCATGTTTGAACTTTTCCATAACAATGAAGGTTGTATCATCAGTGATTGTTAGCAAACACGACAGGGTATGGAAGGCCATGAGCCAGTGAGTAGAGAATTTATTCCTTTTTGTGTTTGATAGACGATTATGATAAATACTCAGGCACAGCAGGGTACTTCTGCTAGTAATAAATACCCTGCAAAGATAATCTGTAACTAAGCATAAGGTTATAATAAAAAATTAACAGCAAACATTTTTTTTTCAACAAGACAAGTATTTATTTTATTCAATGACAATACGAGGAGAGTACCAATACGCTTCTCAACATTCATTTTTGTAATGTATTGGTTAAGTAACAATTGAACTGGTAGAAAATGACTTAGGAACACATCACATAGAAATTCTACTCCACAGTACAAAACAGTCCATTTCACAGACGGCTTTATGTTGAATGCGGTTTCATATTGGACACAACACCACAAAAGAGAATGAAGACATGTATAATACATAAGAGCAAATAAATTCAAATAAGAGCATTACATCATCCAAAAAATTGCCAATTGGGACTAAAGAATTAATTTCACAGATACAAAATTCCATGAAAAGATAAAATTGTAGAATATACTTCCATTCATGTACATTAAAAACACCTATTTTGCTAGTGTCAAAAATTTTAATCTGCATGATTAAATAAATTTAAAAAAACAGCATAGCATCAAGTTTCATATGAAAAGTTAGTATCTACTTGTTTGGAAAAAAAATTAAGACATAAAAATTATTTTAAAAAAAGTTAGAGTGCATATCACTACATATATACATATTTTTCTCTTCACATCCAAACATTGCACTCATTCATTATTTACCAACAGAACTATAAATGTAATTTAAATCATTTTTCTTATACAGAGTGGCCACTCATTTCCTGAAAAAAAAAAAAAAAAATCCCAGACTTTTTCAGTTTTCCACAGCATTACCTATTTTTCCCCTAACAAGAAAAGTTTCACATTACTTAAAGAAAATATTTAAGTTACCATGATTCTAATTGGTCATCTGATTTCACCATGACAAAGTACAAATCAACAATATTGTTTCACACAATTAAAACTGGGGAAACAAATAACACTGTACTGTTTTTACACATCCATTTTTAACCCTCTCCAAATTTTCTCAGACTTCTAATGATTCTTCTACAAATTCTCTGATTTTGCCTGGTTTTCCACCTTTTCTAGAAAGTGACCACCCTGTAATATTAGTTTAAGTTACCTAAATGCAGAAATATGAGTTGCTTTCTTTGAACCAAAATGAATTGATACTTCAGTTTTGGCTGAATGGAATCTGTTGGTAGTCATACAGACTTCAAAATTGTAAAAATTGGACTTGTAAAAATTTTTTTCGAAGTAAATAAAGAAATAGTTAGAAAATTAAAAAACTTCAATAGTTCATTTTCAACCTGAGAAGCAGTACGATTCAATATTTTCAACAAAAACAAATTCAATTTCCAGGTAATACACATGGTAAAAAAAAAACACCCCCGTAACAAATTTTGATAATAGCTCTTACTATTAAAAATTGGTTTCGGTTTGGGTTGACTTAACTGAAATAATTTGCATTAAAACATTAAGCATCACCAACTTTTCAGATATAATTTTATGAATAGAACTTGTATCAATACAATTGTTTTTAGAGGTTTCTCTAACAAAAGATTATGTTGATAATTTACACAATGCTGTGACCCAACAAAAGCTTGCTTATCTAAATATTAGTTGCCACACATCCAGAATTACAATATCACTTTTTTATCTTTATCCTTTAACATCACAGGACTGGTCCTGTATGAATACAAATAATAATTAAATATTTAAATTGCATGTCAAATTCAAATAAATTAATTATTTTTACAACAAACTGACAGAGTATTTAGATAAACATTTTCTCTCCCAATACTTGACGTGTATTTGGAAATTGGGGAAGAATTTTTAAAGAGGAATAAATATAATAAATAAGTAAAAATACATTTTGTGATCAGAAAGCAAATAATTTTTAACTTCCCAACACTTCTAGAAATGATATCACACTACATATTCACAAATTAATATACTATTATGACCAAAGTTTTGGAGAAAAATAAATTTGTTTTTTGGTAATTCGTTATTTATTTTAAGTTAACAGAAACAAAACTTGAATTTAATGTTGGTGTTTCATTGGGCAAACATTATGTACCAACAGCCATTATAGTATTCAAATAAAAATATGTAAATTGCATTTGGTTCCCCAAACGAGGGATCAGATACAATCATGAAATTGTCTTGAAACTTCAATTAAAAACACAACTTGCAATGAAACTTGAAAGTTAAATATTCAAGGTAGTAATGATCAAAAAAAAGCTTTTCCAATTAATGGCTTGAATAACCATTTTTCCAAGCAAAAATTCTGAAAATAAGATAAGAAAACATCATAAAAGAATACAAATCATCATCGGTATTTTATAAATAGTTTTCCTTATAAGATATTTCATCAATATGAGAACTACAAGATATTTCATTAGGGAGTAGTATGAACTAATTAACTTAAAAACATTTTCAATCTTTGTTTAGTATTCAACAGCAATATTTTGTTTTATACACCCTCTTGCCTCACATTCTTATTTAAACAAGTCTTCATGAACCTCAACATGACTCAACAAAGGAAGGATTGCAATTGCAGATAAGTTCAATGTTCCACCATGCATTATTAAACAAATGAATTAAGAAACGAAGTTTTATGTACATTAATGTTTACAGATTTAGGAACAATTGCAATATTAAAGCAAGTTCAACGTATGACGTAAGGCAATATCTGACTTAACTTAGATATCATTACACAATGTTTTAAAATTGATAAAGAAAGTTATATACAAACTTTACAGCTATGGCAATTCTTTACAACTTTAATATTGAACACAATCTCTTAAAATGCAAAACTATACGGAATGAAAATTGTACAGACTTTGCTTTCTGCATTACACACACCGAATTACTAAAATTATTTATCTACAACAAATATTCCAAGTGCAGTAGAATAGGCAAGTTAATTTATCTTTCTCCAGTGAAGTTTCTCGCACATAAGAAATAGTTATAACAGAAGAAATATTTTAAACAAATCAGTAATCAGTCATGAGTCAAAAATTAGCCACTTTTTCCATTAGACATTTTTATTGAATTGGGGCATTGAATCTTACATTTCTGAGACATGCAAAGTAGCTTAAAACAGTAAATTTAATATTGAGTGTTGAGATAAATTAATATACCACCACATAAGATAGAAGAATGCAGCAGATGCTTTTAGCATAAATGCAGCACTTTCATTATAATGTTAATATAACAAAATATAAAGCAAATCCTTTTGAAAAAGACACTGTTAATGACAGTTGAACAAAAGGTGACAACAGTAGTAACCTGAAAGTTATTAAATCTGTAAAAGAAATAAAATTAGGGGTTTCAGAAGCTCAAAACCTGTTTAGTTCACATTCAAAATTAATTAGTATCAAAACAAACACACAAGTTTATAAGTTGTGAAGAAATATAACCCACCTCTATCCCCATACGTTATAATTAGGGCACAACTTGCGTACTGGCATACTTGCTTCATTTTTTTTCTTTTCTACATAAGCCTGCCTATATTGAAAACCTTACATAGATTATGTTCTAAGGCATAAATGGCCATTCATGTACAAGAGCATTAATAATAAAAGAGTTATACTACCAAATATCACTTCATTTCATGATCCATTTATGTGCCAACCAATTAAAAATGGCTCTTAAGAAATTATTTAATAAATTTCACTGAAGTAATAAAGAAGGAGATGATGATGATGATGATGACGATGATGATGATGACGATGACGATGACGATGATGATAGATCAACTAAAACTAAGACTGTGCTGATGGCATAACATCAATTGACAATACAAAGAACACAAACATTTTATTTACAACTAAATATAAGCAGCATGTCTTGTAACAGAAATATCAACTTCACTAGTAAGAATATTGCATATTGGAAAAAATGGCAACTAGTACAAATCCAGAGGGGAGAAAAATATCAGTTTCTGCATGAATCTACGAAAGCAATAAATCTGTACATTTTCTTCCATCAGTTCCTCAGAATATTTCAAACAACACTATTAAAAGCTGTGCTACCTGCTTCTCCACTTTGTTACTACCCAACATTTTCTACTAGTTCAAAAAAAGTTTGCTCCAGCAGGAAAGAAACTTAACAGAAACAAATATCAAAACCACTACTTTTCTTCACATTCTACTCCATGTGCTTTTTTTCAGGTAGAAAAATGACTTTCTAGCCAGCATTATTTTGCTTACTAAAGAATAATGTTTTAACACAAACTCTCAAAAATTTCTGGTTTCCTCACAAAGAACAAAAAATACTGCGCATTAAAATTATGTTTCCTTTAAAATTTTTTTAACCGTTTGTGATTATAAACAAAAATTAAATAATTTAACTGCCCTCCAGTCACTTTCGTCACTTTTCATTATCTTTCTTTTCATCACCATGTTTCACATCACCATTAGCAGTTTTCTCTCTCAGTGTTTTTTGGAGTACATGTGCATCCGCTGGCTCAATTCTCTTGTAGTAATGCTCTTTTGTTTCCACTATTTCAAAACCAAACTTCTTATAGAAATCAATTGCACCTTCATTATTTACTTGAACATGCCTGAAAAAAAAAATTACTTCAGTAACATCAAGACCATGAGTCAAAGCTGAATAATCACCATGAGCATTTAAATTCATCAATAGTTATAAATGGCAAATCCTGAAATGAAACTGCATTAAACAGAACAGTAAACGTGTCTCGTGTAGCCACACATTGACTGCACAGGGAGAGTCATTTCAAGTGAAAAATGAATTGCCTTATGATATCGCCCAATTAAAGGCAGACAGAACCTTTGCCCACCAGCTGGCCATCAGAATCACAGCTGTTCACAAATGACCTCCTAAGTATACAACAGCGCTTTAAGTTTTAGAAACATGTATGAAGTTTCAGTGATATATGTGCAACCAAAAAAAAAAAACCTTTTTGGGAATCTACACTTTAGGTCGAATTGGTACAGGACTTATTTATTCCAAACCAGGTGACCTGGCAATGCTTCGTTATTGCTTTGTATTACACATCACACACTACTGGTCACGTTATTGCTAATCACGTTCTATGGAATGCTATGCAAAAACGCGAGCATGAGTTTGTTCAATGTCCTGGTTCTATTATTAAAACGTTCACCCTCTCATTTGCGCATTCATATGCCATGACAATTTAATTTACTAGTTCAAGATTCAACTAATAATTTCAGCTGATATTATACAATTGCAGGGGCACAATACTTATTTGCCATGATGGTGTGCTTTATCCTTTATTGAGCAGAGGGTTGTGTAGAGTTCAGGGGCACTTGAGTCATCTTAAAAGAATCATCAACAATGCCCTCACATGTCTGATTTAGTTCAATCCACTCTATATACCACTAAATATTCTCATTAAATAATCCTATTACTCCAACTAATAGTAATAAGTACGAAAATTTTAGTGAACCTAGTTGAGTAGTTCTTGCGTCTACGTGCAACACAGATATGTACATTCCCTTTTATTTATGTACAGTTAATATAAGGAATGCATTAGTGGGTTTGTTTTACTGTATGAAATGACAGCCTTGTTTTTATTTATATATTTGTTTTTCTTTTCCTCCCCTTAAGCTTCGCGCCAATGCAAGGTTATAACAACCCTACCCAATATGTATTTCACACAAATTATTTCAGTACAAATGTTATGGATTATTAAAATTTGCATTTTACTTCAGGAGGTCTTTGACTGACTTTCTTAACTTCTATAATGTTGCACATACAATATGATGTGATGCAACATAGGAACTATGAGTTTATTATTAGTATTTCAGTTAAATATTGTTTACTTGATATTAATGTCAGAATTTTTTTGAATTCATTCATTCAAAAATTTTAAAATTTGCATTCCGTTTAACCCACAAGAATTTTATTTCCATGCTGCTTGTCAGTGTGTAGAACATTTTAAACTTGTTTTACTACAATTCAAGAAATTTATTAATTGCAATCTGGTGGAAGTTGTTCTGAGAGGGAATTTTTAAATAATAGAACGTGCTTTATAACTGAATCAGTAAAACATAATTTTTAAGATTTCATGATATAAACATAGGTCCCCTTCAGAAATTTCTTTTCATTGTCTTGCAAGAAAGAACACAAATGTATAATATAAAATACTATTCAGTTCAATTAATACAATAATTTAAAGATTTTTAATCTTTTGCAAATCAAAAAGTAATATTCAAATATGTTCATTAAAAATAAGAAATAACAAGAACACATATGCACTTACACTGCACGTGAACACAAAGTTGTTCATGTACATTAATTTAGCCATGTTATAAGCTGAGTGCGTAGCATATCTCTTACTTTTATTCACCAAAAATTTAAATCTGAAAGCTATCAATACTCACAAAAAAATACTGTCAAAATTTCCATCTTTCGTTACATAATTCAGCACATGTTCCACCATTTTTGTTCCGATTCCAAGTCTTCGATATGGATAAAGACAACCTAAAGTCATTATGTACAACCGCCTAGAATTTTCTGATGTGTCAATTCTGCAGCATACTGCTCCTACTACAATGTCATTGTAATATGCTGTAAACACAAAATAATAAATACATTTAGAAAATGCAATAAATTCACACACAATAACAAGACTATTATCAACAAAAGCTATTACTCATACCTAATTTTGCCAACTCCCCCGCCTCCAAAACGTCTTTGTAAAACTTGTCATTATATGACACCGGGAAAACAACTTGGTTAAGACGTTTAAGTTGCTTAATGTTGTGTGGGGTGACATCTCCTAATTCAATTTTAGATCTGTAAAATAGGTTCAGCTTCAGTTACCACATAACATATTGAAGCCTAAGATTGACAGAATACAAAATATTCTAAATAATCTGAAAAACTAACTTCAAAACCTTACTTTCTACGAACGCCCATAACCTACAAAATATCACATGCCCATCAAAGACCAAAGACAAAAATATGCATAAAAATAAATCCCACTCACCTCGTCATTTTTATTTCGTTATTTTTTTGTGGAAGTTGAGGAATACAATTCAGCTATTTAATACAACAATTCACATGCAATTCTCCTGAAACGGATATTGCCCACACCAGCTGCCTTAGCATTCGAAGCGCTAAATCGCGCTCGATTTCCCTACAGTCACCTTCACCCGATAGCTCCTGACTCGAAAAACGAATCGACCAAGGAGAGCACGTGGATATCAAAGGAAACTATTCTCAAAGATTTTTTATTTTAATTTTGGGACAGATTTTCTGTCAATACTAGCAAAATGGTCAAAATTGCTAAGAATTTGAAAACTGATTTAGACAAACGAAATCTAAAAACAATTGAATTTTTAGTTTAGGGATTCTATGGTGACAATACTTTTATGATAAAACTAAGTCCGTTGTGACAGAATTGTGGCAAAATACACTTAACGTAAAAATGTTTAAACGCTAGTGCAATGTTTCATTATAGAAGGTAAACATTGCATTGGCGTAATTAAGACAACTACCATCCCTGAAGTGAATTACCCAAAAGGCTTATATAAACAGCGTAATAATCGGGAATCTCTTTAATAAGTTAAATGAGCTAAGAATCTTCATTAACAAGTTTCAAGGATAGAATGGACACCGTTGATGCTTAATTTCCCTCTTTTTCGCTTTTTGGAGTGAAGTTCCAAGCAGGTTTGGCCTTTTCGTATAACAAGACCAACCACGGCGTTGACCATCGTTTCAAAAGCGACTAAACGATTTTTCATTTTGATATATCTGACAATTTACCTAATCAATATTCATTAAAATTTAAAATAAGAATTAATTAGACATTCTATGTAAATATTTATCTTTCTTCTTTACAGAGCATGGAATTATGAAAAATCAATATTCTGACTCTTGTATTCAGTCGTGTGTCAGCTGACAAGTCTTGTGATTGCAGCTGGTAAGGAGGTGAGCAAGTGGAATCATACTTTACTTGAATTCCCGTGTTATTTGTTGTATAAGTAAGGATACATTATTATTAATGTACTTTGACAGTTACTTAAAACTTTTGTTGCTCTGGGGTACCAAATTCATCATGATCAAGTTCATATTTTCTGGTTTCGAACATGTCTTTCAGTTCCTTCGGTGTTCACAGGTTTTCAGAAGATCTTGTAATACTTTTTCTAAAATTTCAGCTTTATAAGTCATTTTACTAATCAAATATGCATAATCTATTATAGTAGCGTACGTTTTGCCTGTAAAAGTGATTACGAATAAAATATTTGTAGTAGTTCGACGCCAGGGCTACGCCTACTTTTCTGTGGCCTGAATTTTGAAAAAAGTACTTGTAGATCGTTCTAGGATAGTGTATTTGAAAATCCTTTTCTTATAACATCTCAAGGATATCGGATTTTAGTAAACCTGTTTAGAAGTGGGTGTTAATTATTTATTTGACCTATATTTTATTCTCCTGAAATTGTATTTCAACTTCATTGTGAGATTCTGTATCAAAGCAGCGAAGATTCAAAATTTTACTTTTGAAATTTAATATATTTTATGGGAAAAGTTTTAATTCGCTGTAATTTTTTTTTTTAGAGCGATGGATATTTTAAAATTTTGCTTGACTGGTGGTTTATTTTATTTTTAAATTTGTAAAATGTGTTGTTCTGTTTTGAAGAAAACTGAAGATAAAGTAGAGTACAACTACAATTTTAAGTGACAAAAGTGGGCAAAGATCACATTAAAATCATTATTTTTAGAGGATATTTTGTGTCAATTAACATTTGCCTTGCAAAGGATGTATTACCTGGAATATTTTATGTTCTTAGTACATAAATTTTTGTTGCAGCTCCCAATTTGCAATCATGTCCAGAAACCTAGCTAAGTTAGCTGATGAGGATCGAGAGGGGAAGTATGGATATGTGTATGCTGTGTCAGGACCTGGTATGCTTGTTAATTCAAATTTTACACGGTTTACCAATTGCTGTTGTTTTCACTACATTTTTTGCTTCAAACTGTAACATCTGTTACTTATAAAATTAGTTACTATTTGGTGTCGCGATCTAAAATTTTCTTTTTACCAATAACACTTGATTTCATTCTTGATCTCCATAATTGTGAAAAATATTCTAAAGACATTGGGACTGTTTTTAACCCAGTCCTGTGTCCAGATTTTCATCCTACATCTCTTAATTGTCCCCAATGGTTGCAAATTTTAAATTTATAATTTTGGCAAGTTTTGTGAACAAATTTTATGAGATTTTTCCCGTATTCTTTTAATTCATTTGTCAATTTGTTATTGAGAAAATGATTTTCCTTAAACAAAATTAATAGTGGTGTTCTTTCCAGTTTTCTTGTTGTAGAATTTAAACTTGTTAGAGGATTAATGAAAGTGACCAAATATATTAAAGATAAAGATTGAATCAAGTGGTATTTTGTGACTGACCTGTTGCCAGCATTTAACTTATTCATAGCATAACCATAAGAATGATAATGTAACATAATTTTTTCATGTAGCTTAAAGTAAACATTACAGATTGTGCTTTGTTAATATATGATTTTATTTTGCTAATAAAGTTGTAGGTATCCTAATTTTTTGCCTTTTATAGTTAGTGTAATGTATTTTTTTAATTCTGAACGTTCAAATTGTTAAATGGTATGTTTCCCCAAGAGCTCGTTCAGAAACTCCATGTTGAAATTTATGTACATAAACTCAAAATGGTTTCATAATAATTGCAATACAGCATTAAATCGAAATTTTCACAAATTGCTTAAACAAAGTAATATTCAAATGTTTAAAACTCGATGCAAATGTAATTTGTGAAAGTAGACGTTTTCAAGAGAAAAGAAATTTTTGACTGAATAATTTTCTGATACCATGGCTCCTCCATCCCTCCTCAATTCCATCTTCCCTTACTCCTATGTTATTGTGCAGGTATGCGATTGTGACGTACGTTTTGGTCATGTGATTAAAGAAAATTTACATAGTTTCCTGTTAATTTTTCTTTCTTCTCTTACATCCTTTTGTACGAACTTTCATCATTTTGGATTCATGTATTTACTACCTTCGTGTGCCTTTATTTAGTTCAATCTTAATTCATTATGTAAAATTATCAAAGCATTGTTAACTACAGTGTGACAATTTTATAAATGGGCCGGCCGCGCAGGGATTTTGCCTTGGCGAACATGGCCATGGGTACCGGGGAAATCAAAACAGCTGTTCGTAGAATTTCTAAAGAGGGAAGATGGGATTTTGCTACCATAAAGTTTGCATTGTTCTTACGTTATAGAAGGTGCTGGAACTGCTCACCACAGCACTGATACATTCTTTACATCTAAATAAGTTCCGATTCACTCAGTAAAGGATGTCCTGTGGTATTGCAGTGATCTGTTCCTGTATATTGTGCTTTATAAGTCCATGTGGGGATTTGTTGTACATGTGCAATCTTTGGCAATCCCCAAAGAAGGAAATCGCACAGTCAGATCAGGAAAGCATGTAGGCCACAAATCATGTGCGATAACTTTGTTTCCATAAATGGCATGTAAAACCTCAGGGAAACTGAAGCAGTGTGTGCAGTTGAGGAGTCTGTTGAAAATGATCGTAATTGCGTTCTTCATTTCTCAAAATTTGAAAGAAAGGCTCCAGGATACTATGTGTACACAGTTTGACACATTTTACATATATCTCATATACAAACGTTTTCTCTTTGAGAGTGAACTCGAGGTAGCCATTACAAATTGACTATTCAATAAGACTGAAAGCATGCCGTTCGTAGGGTGAGACCTTGAAAGACTCCCGTCCGCAGCATTCCCAGGGGGGTTTAGTGCACTGTTCCTTGACAAATAAGGGCCTATCAGCAGAGCATAATTTTCCACGATCGCAGCCCACTAATAAAATAGTTGCTCTGTTCATGTAATATAAAACAAAAGCTCTCCCTCTTTGTTGAAAGACTTACATGAAATTAAAAAATTGATGCAGTACTTGCTCGTGCAACTGCGTGGTAATTTTAATGCTAGGCATTGTTTGTCCAGATGTTGGTTCCAACAGGATGTCAATCTAGGTACTCTAGTCCCAATGGCAGTGTGTATATGAGCAGGTGGTTGAGTATTATCAATTGTGAAATAATATAAGAGTTGATACTGTCATCCAATCCTGAACTGAATTACTATTAGAATCTGATTATGTGAGTGGTGAAAAATTGTGCTGGAATTTGCGAGCAGAAAGCATCAACTAATTATTTGAAACTCATACAATTAAACAAGGAAGTTAGTTAGATAATGTAAGTGTATTTGACCAGAATTAAAATACATTGATATATAGTTGTACTTACGTTTGTAGTGCCAGTTACAATCCTGAACTGAAAATGCATTCATAATTATTTACCTGTGTATTTTGCTTCACCATGTTGGGTGAAAGTTCAGTTTGTGATTGCTGATATTTAATGTGTATCATAACTCATAGTGTAAAAGATCAGACCTTGTACTGTGGTTTAGTAATGAGCCAAGAAATGACATACTTGGCCTCTCAGAAAAGACTCCACACAACTTAGTTGATAGGAGCATGAAGTTGCACTATTGGTTGATTGCATAGCTGTAATTTTTCAGTATAATCATTTCTCTCTCTTGAGTAAATAATTGAGGCCATAAGCAATAACGAAAGGGAGAATCTGAATTGTACTTGAGCAAACCTACCAGACTTTTACAGGAATTTCTTTGATACAAGATTTTTACCTGTTACTAGATGAAGTACCCCCCCCCCCCCACATTACCCCATTTATTTGTCATAGTTGTCTTTTAGATGGGCAACTGAATGTAAGCGTTCCCTGTGTTCCCTACATTCATAGTGTATTCCTGCACTTAATTGTGAACGTAAGCGTGCTGCGCTTTAACTACACTTGACCATGTGAAAAACATTAAAAAGCACTTGACCACCCAAACTCGCTCTACATTTGACCCCCTCCAGCTCCATCTTGCCTACCTCGGCATGCTGCTGCTTGTTTCCACCCTTGCCCGCTCCACTTCGCCAGTTTTGATATGATTACCATTGCTACCACCATTGATGCATCTGTCATCTGTAAACATGTGCATTGTGGCATACTCCTGGCAAACGCTGTAACAATGTTGTTATTATTATTATCATCATTATTGCTATTATTATTTTAGTAGTAACAATTATTCAATTTCTAATAGCTCCTATTGACATGAATTAAAAGGCATTTAGTAGAAACGTTAAGGCTTTCAGGAGTGTTGAATTCCTTTTCTTAGATCTCACAGTTTGGGAGATTTTTCTTGTTTTGAATGACATATGTAAGAAATTTTGTAAAAGCCAGAATAAAATTAGATGTATACAAAAAATAAACAAAAGATTATTCTTCTTATTATATTATACTGTGGTTTTTACAACTCTGCCCCTGGCCGCAATCAGCTGTTCACGGTTTCATTCAATCGGGAGCATGAATGACACTATGGTGACATTCAAGCTCTCGATTGGATGAAACCGTCAACAGCTGATTCCTGCCAGGGGCAGAATTGCATAAATTGCAGTATACAGATTCAGACAAAAATGGTAAAAACCATTGAATGGGTTTATGTATCAAGTAGATAACCATATAAATGCAGTTATTTTGAAAATATTGCAGACTCTTCAGTGTTATTTACCTAGATGAAATTTTCTAACACTGGCAGAGCATAATGATAATGCTTTACTGTCAAGCACACCAGTAATTGAGAAATTTCTGATTTGATCTCAAAAAAGTTTCAGGAACTTGTTTTGTGTGTTTAACATGAGTGAGATTGGTTTGCCAGAATTAAATTCATGGGCCAACTTTGCACTAATGATTAGAAAATAATTTCAATAATTTTGTTTTGTTAAATGGTTCCCAAAAAATTAATTTTGTTCATCAACTGATACCAGAAATGTGATTTTCCGCTACCTTTGTGTCAAATTAGCCTTACAGTTACCAGAAATCAAGTATATTATGGAGATAGATAAAAATAATTACATGGGGTATTGTTGCTTATTAATTTCCCAAAAAACATATTCAATGCCCTAAAACTATTACCAGAAATATGAAATTTCATCAAATTGATATTAAGAAGGACAATTACCAGGAAATTCAGATATTATGAGATATATAAAAAATAACTACATAGGAAATTGTTGCTTGGTTGTTGCCAAATAGTTCCCAAAAAAGAAATTTTGTTGCACGTCAACTGATTAATATTAACACTGTACTGGGTAGTGAGGTTTCCCTGATGATTGCCTGGTGTGTTCCAGAGTGGCAGAATGGATCAATGTGTAATCTTCCCCTTCCATTCCCAGATGGAATTGACCTTGGCTGTTGAAGCGCCCTAAAATCACGCGTCAAATAATCAATTCGCACATTTGAGGTGTCATTGGGGGGGGGCAGGTTTTTCATTTCTGTCTTGCTAAGCTCTGAAAAACATAGCATAAAAAGTTTAAAATCCTCCGTTTGTAAACCTTGGAAAATCAAGATTTACAGCTCTGTATACATCGAACTAAGTGGGTGTTTTTTGTCTTAACGGCCGTCTGTTAATTACGTAATGCAAATTTACAGTATTTTACCCCACCTTTCTGTAACACATGATTAATGCACGCTTGACCTGCCCCCAATAATTATGTAATGCTTGTGGCTAGAACCCTCCCTGCTCCCCAATTTCCAATAAATCAAAATAAATTGTAAAGTAGAAATAACAAATTGTATTAATTTTGTTTTATGTATTAAAATGTATTGAAAATTATAGTAGTCAGAATTAGTTGACAATCTGGACTGCTCCTAACAAAATGGTCGACAAATTTTGAAGGAAAGGAGGGTACTTAACTTGAGAAAATTCCTGAAAATACACCATGCATGAGTTGTCTACTGCACCAGTAGTTGCTTTTAATTGGATTTTGAAAAAATATATTTTCTTTGTAATTAACTGATACAATGGAAAAGAATTATCCTTTTATTGTAACAATTTGTACATCAATTTTTTAATTTATTCTTATTTTCCTTTTAATTTTGTAATATTTTAAGGGTTTAGTATAAGACTAAATAAAATAATTTATTTCATTAAATGTTGAACATTTAAAAAATAAATATCAGCATTATGTAACAGTAAACCATGACCCCCATACTCCTGTTAGAATGCTGCCTCAACCACCCTCCTCCCACTTAAGCATTATATAATTTATGAAAAAAACATTTTTGTGTACACAAATAATGTTATAATAATAACAAATTACGTTTCATTGCAAATGAATTATGATTCCAAATTTATTGGACAAATGTTGATAGAATTAGTTGTTTCTGTTGAAATGTTGAAAACAATTTTTAACGAGCATGACCTTCCTCTCTAAAAATGAAGACAAAATATTTTATTTACATTAATTTGATGCAATTTTTTAAAATTTTTTTCAGTGGTCACTGCAGAACACATGTCTGGGTCTGCTATGTATGAATTGGTCAGAGTGGGTTACTTTGAATTGGTAGGAGAAATTATTCGTTTAGAAGGTGACTTGGCAACCATTCAGGTAATTTATTATTTATTGCATTTATGTCTTAAATTTCATGATATTGTACAATATATTTAGAAAAGATTTTGTGGTTATTTGATCAATTTTAACTTGCCTTTACTAGCAATGAGGGCCATCATTGTACTGGTATTTCATAAATGAGACCTAAAAGCAAAATTCCCAATTTTTACAAGTGAATACAGAACACAGTATTGGGCTAAGTTAACAGTTTTATCTTCTTTTATTCTTCTCTTCTTCTTCTTCATCCTCTTCTCTTCTTCTTCTTCTTCATCCTCTTCTCTTCTTCTTCATCCTCTTCTTCTTCTTCATCCTCTTCTCTTCTTCTTCTTTTTCATCCTCTTCTCTTCTTTTTTGTCGTCTTTTCCTCTTCTCTTCTTTTTTGTCGTCTTTTCCTCCTCTTCCTTTGCTTTGTTGTTTTTGCAGCTAATATTACAATGGCATAACAATTCCAAGTTTTATTGCAACAAGAATGCATATAACATGTGAACATCAAGCAAATATTTAATAATAAATAAAATATTTTAATAAAAATAATTTACTTGTGAGTGATTTGTAGTGCTCAGCTAAATTTATTTACTGATATGTTCACATAGGTCTATGAAGATACTTCTGGTGTGACTGTTGGAGACCCAGTGCTGAGAACGGGCAAACCTTTATCTGTGGAACTAGGTCCTGGCATCATGGGAAGTATTTTTGATGGTATCCAGCGACCTCTGAAGGACATTCATGAACTTACTCACAGTATCTACATCCCAAAAGGAGTAAATGTTCCGGCATTGAGTCGCACTGAGCACTGGGAATTCACTCCTGGAGATATAAGAGTAGGCAGCCACATTACTGGAGGTGACATTTATGGTGTGGTTTTCGAAAACACGTTGGTGAAACACAAGATCATGTTGCCTCCAAGATCGAAGGGTACTGTACAGTATGTTGCTCCTGCAGGCAACTACACAGTGGAGGTGAGCCTAACAGCTTGTACATCAATGTATTTTTAGCCAATTCTCAATACTTCTGATATTTATATTTCCTTTCCTTTTTAATTCCTTTTACTCTGATGGAATTATTAAAGTGAATTTGGTATTGAATACTGTACACAAGTCTTATATTTTTATATTTTAGGATGTTGTTCTTGAGACAGAGTTTGATGGTGAGAGAACAAAATACACAATGTTGCAAGTGTGGCCTGTACGACAGCCACGACCTGTTACTGAAAAACTACCTGCGAATTACCCACTTTTGTGTGGTCAACGTGTGTTGGATTCTCTTTTTCCGTACGTATACCTAAAACTGCAGTAATTTGCTGGGTGTGGAAAAGAAAATTCCCAAATTTTATTATTGGATTTTTATTGCATACATAATTTGGAAAGTTTGAAATTTTGATCATTTTTTGTTTTTCTGTTCTCCCTAGTTGTGTGCAAGGTGGTACCACTGCCATTCCTGGAGCTTTTGGTTGCGGCAAGACTGTCATTTCTCAGTCATTGTCAAAGTATTCCAATTCAGACATTATTGTGTATGTAGGATGTGGAGAACGTGGTAATGAAATGTCTGAGGTAAGAAGCACTTACATAACACCTTTTATCACCATGTCATTCTGAAATTTTCAAAAAATAAAAGCCCGTTTTTCTCAGCTAATTTTCTGGGGGCCAAAATAACTACTAACATAAAATCCCTCTATATAGAGACAAGATCTGGTATGTGACACATTTGCTAATAGTGTCATTGATATTGATTTCTATTTCCTCATATCTTTTATATAGAGTAAAGAAAACTCAAGTTACTTAATGCCTGCTACACAAGTTATGTAATGCTGCAAGAAAAAGTGGTAGATTTTTTAGTAAAAACACATTTTAGTTGTCCCTGATACCTAAAAACTATTTTCAAAGCCCACCCTAGTGATGTCATGCAATAATACAAAAAAGAAAGTGCTGCGGAAGTATTACTAGTTTATTGTGAGAATTTGAAAAGATAGGATATGTGTCCTAAATGTCCCCCCACAAAGTCAGCTCAGTACATTTATAATTTTTATAGAAATGTCTGTGTATAAAAAGGATAATCAGTTATGAGAGAGATATTTTTTTAATGGGACATCTTTATGTGTGTTATTAATTTTCATTGTGTGTTAAATATCTTGATGTGTTATTTTTATGATATAACATATCATGGTGTTAAATTTCCTTACTTTTACGCATTTCCTAGAAGTGCCTCTAACAAATTGTGTTAATGATATAAATTCCGAGTTGAGATTCATGAACAAAAACAGTTATAAAAATTGGCTTGCGATCAGGGGATAGTTCTTTTCCCACAAACAAAAACAATTTTAAATTTATTCAACTTCAGATGTTCCCCGATGCTTTAGTTTCTATTAACATTTGTTATCTACTTGGTTCAAATGCCTTGTTTTTATGTTCTTTGTTGTTCTGTGTTATGTTGTCACGTAAGATGCAATAGTGTAAATGAATGTGAATATATTTAGGTGTTGAGAGATTTCCCTGAGCTGACTATTGAAGTAGATGGTAAAACTGAGTCCATCATGAAGAGAACAGCTCTTGTGGCAAATACATCCAACATGCCTGTAGCTGCTCGAGAAGCATCTATTTACACAGGTCAGTCTACCAACAATAATAGTAGACATAAACCAATAACAGTCAAAAATAGTTGTCAGTGTCAAATAGTTGTTTCTCTCCAAAACTAAGGCAATTGTACAAATTCTTTTTGATTTTTATATAGAGTAAAGAAAACTCAAGTTACGTAATGCCTGCTACACAAGTTATGTAATGCTGCAAGAAAAAGTGGTAGATTTTTTAGTAAAAACACATTTTAGTTGTCCCTGATACCTAAAAACTATTTTCAAAGCCCACCCTAGTGATGTCATGCAATAATACAAGAAAGAAAGTGCTGCGGAAGTATTACTAGTTTGTGAGAATTTGGAAAGATAGGACATTTGTCCTAAATGTCCCCCCAGAAAGAATGGAATTAATCGAAATAAAATATACTTTACAGTAGAGTCGAGTGTCGAGATGAAAATACTCGTAGAGATGTCAGTAAGTCGAAGTGATAACAGCAAATTGTAAATCGTTTCGGGCTTCAGATCACAGATATTAACTCTCTGACCTAACAGCAACTTGGAAAACCAAACCACAACTTCCTCTTCCTTCACTTGCTGCCACACATGCCCGTGACGCGGTCACTATCGTACTTCATCACACGTTTTATGAGTACACACTGCATCCAACATACTTAGAATTGGCCACCGCCGACACGCTCAGCTTCGCCTCCCTCCATCAGCTTATACCACTAGTGCCACTATGCAAGATTTTGTTACCCATTCTTCCCAATCCCATTTGCCCACTCTCAACTTATCAAATCCATTTTTTCCCCAAAGATTAAGATTGACTTTTATGATTTTTAATTTTATTGAAGTGAAAGTAACTTGTTTTGAATCTCTATTTATATTAATTAATTTCCTTTGGGTAGGTATCACATTATCTGAATATTTCCGTGACATGGGTTACAATGTATCAATGATGGCTGACTCCACCTCTCGATGGGCTGAGGCTTTGAGAGAAATTTCTGGTCGTTTGGCTGAAATGCCTGCAGACAGGTACAGTAAACATTTTTGGTTTCTTTACTTACTTTTGGTAACTGAGCTTAAAGCCCAAAATAAATAGATTACAAAACTATACATGCACATATACAATTCAAAAATTTGTATATGACTTTCTTATAACTTATGGAATATTATAGTAGCAAAGGGATCTATAGAAACCATTATAAGACAACGGAAAATCAAAAATTCAGGAATAAACTACACCTCTATATAATCTATAAATATCCTAATGTTTGCTGGTGATTGGATACTATTACAGTTTTGCTTCACTTTAATACGCAAAACACTATTACCACTTTGGATCCTACGGATGTATCTGATACATCATCTTCATTTTACTGCTGTGTTCTATGGACATATATCATACATCCTTCCACATTTATCAACTTTGATGGGCTATGAATATCTATCGGACATTCGTAGGCACCTAGAATACGCTTTTTAATATCATTAAGGTGGTTTGAGAACAATGACCAATGTGTGGTTCTATTTTCTGCATGTATTTGGAATTTTTCAAGGATGCAATTGGATATTCATATTTGTGGGCACTGTCGATTACATTTAGGATGTCTTTCTTTGTAATAGTGTTTGTGCTGTCTGCAAGATATACAGATGTTGAGAAGACAGTTGTAAAATTCTCAGTGACTCTCAACATTAGAAGTTCAAGAGTTTTTGAATAATGGATCAGAACTGGATTCTTCTGATGAGGTCGTTGATTTTTATTCCTGGACTGCCAGTAATGAATATTATATCGAGAGTAATAATGATAGGAACGATTCTATTGTTGATTCTTCTCAATTGAGACTAAAGTTCTTTCATTTCCTTTAGAATGCTCTGAAATTGATAAACAATCTGAATTACCAGTGTTAGAGAAAACCAGACTAGACTATTTTTCATTTTTACCACAGTATATTTTGAAAAAATAGTATAAATAAATAGATTGCAAATTGAACTGTATCTGAACTTCAACAAAATATAATTGTAGTGCACCAGTTTTGTTGTCACTTGAAGTTCACTGTGTTTTCTGCTGTATTTTATAACAAAATACACACAGACATAAAGAGGAAAGACAATACTACAAGATTTGATCAATTTGCAACTGACATGTTTTGGTAGTTTTCGTTTCATGTTTTGAATAATAGCTATATTGCCCGGGACACAGGAGTTAAACGCATGGTGTATCTCTCACGATTGACTGTGTCAACATTAATAACTTTTTTCCACTTTGACTATCTAAAATCAAACTTCTTAAACTGAGTTTCATAGGAAGTTATATAACATAACATAAAGATACCCACTTTAATCATTTTGTAATAAGTGTTGTTAGAACACAAGTGTTCAGAAAATTCAGTTATTATAAACTTCTGTGTCACCTTTTGCAAGATGAAAAGTCAAATATAATTAAAATTCTAGTACATTGGAACTTTTAGGAGTGGATAAAATATTGTATGATATTTATATCGAGAAACGTCTTATTACAATACTCAATTGGTAATCAAACTCTCTAATCTCATATTGCAATAAGATTAAGATAGTTATTTTGTAAATGACTATTATATATCACAATGAAAGATTTCATCTACATTGAAAGCCAACCTTTGATGAATTTCAAAGACTAAAGTGATAATTTCAGGCAAGAACTCGCCTATGAGATTTAAGAATTAGATCTTGACCCTGTAGAGAGATTTTACTTTTTATCGCAACAATGTGCAGTTCATCTTATCACTGTGACATGTACTTGCTTTTAAAAAGTATTTGAGTAAAAGTTAAGTGTTGTTAGTATTATTATTGTTGTTGTTATTATTATTGTTATTATTGTTGTTGTTATTATTATTGTTATTATTGTTATTATTCTTGTTGTTGTTGTTATTATTATTATTATTATTATTATTATTATTATTATTATTGATATTATTACAAGTCAAATATTTCTTTTCTTTTGAGAAAAAGTTAAATATCCATTTCACTGAACTGACCAAAAAATTTGTTGTCAACAGTGGTTATCCAGCTTACCTGGGTGCACGTTTGGCGTCTTTCTATGAGCGTGCTGGACGAACAAAATGCTTAGGCAACCCAGAGCGAGAGGGGTCTGTCAGCATTGTGGGAGCAGTATCCCCTCCTGGTGGTGACTTTTCTGATCCTGTCACATCTGCCACTCTGGGTATCGTGCAGGTGTTCTGGGGATTGGACAAGAAACTCGCTCAGCGGAAACACTTCCCGTCAATCAACTGGCTTATTTCGTACAGGTAATGTTCGTCAGTAATAGTGTACTCTACTTTTGTTGCTAGTTTTATGGTTTTACAACAAGCTTGCAGACAAAATTATAATTACAACTTGTTGGATGTTAATAGTTGTTGGGTGGAAATTTAAAGAGCAGTATCGTTCACTATTTTTCTTCAAAATAGAATATTCTCTTCAGCATTCTCTTAAGATTCATGAGATCATGCTCATGAGAAATGTGTTGATTTCAACAGTTTTTAGTCTTTCAAGCGTATATTAACCCTTTGCATACCAAGAGGGTACATGTGTATCCCAATCTCACTTTTTTACTCGTGTGTGTTGTGCTTATTTGGCGATATTGAAGTTTTGTTACATTGTTTGAAAAACATCCGTTGACAATTATGTCTTTAAAAAAAGTTAGTTTTAAGTTGTTTTACGTTTTTTCCTTAAAAACTAGCACTGGGGTTCATTTGTATCCCGCTTGGAATTCTGCATCACCAATTGTTATTCCTTATTAATTAGAAACAGAGACAAAAAACATAGAACAAGATGCTATATGTGTTTGTCATTTATGTGTAATGAACATTCAAATAAAGAAACAATAAAAATATGCATCAGTTGCCTAAAACATGAATAACCTTGAAAGAAGTTTTTTGATGAAGTGTTATGTAATAATAGAGAAACATTGGAATGAAGTTTGCTTAATTTTATAGAATTTGTCCTTCTTTATAGATTAACTGCTCAAAATAATCAAAATGTTCATATTTTAGTTAGTTATTTCATATTTCAAAGAAATCTTGCATAATATTTGCGTGGGTACACATGTACTCCACTTGGTATTTGGCGTTATATGTAGAGCTTGGTATGTGGAATGTTAAAAGTTAATATACATATTTTATTCCTTAATTATTTATTACTACTTTATATTATTAATTAACTTAATTTTTATGTTTTTTCAGTAAATATCTGCGTGCCCTGGATGATTTTTATGAAAAGAACTATCCTGAATTTGTACCATTGCGAACAAAGGTTAAAGAAATTCTTCAAGAGGAAGAAGATTTGTCAGAAATTGTGCAGCTAGTTGGCAAAGCGTCTCTGGCAGAGACTGATAAGATTACTTTGGAAGTTGCAAAACTCTTAAAGGATGACTTCTTGCAGCAAAACAGGTATAGAAACTCAAATGACTGCAGGTCTTACAAGAATGGATAAATGTATTATATCTTGTGAAGATTTCATTAATTTTTAAAATACAGTATTTACCTGAATATAAGACGATCTTGTTTATTTAAACAGAAATGGGGGGGGAATACACCCAAAAATAAATGAATGTTTCTATACCTTTAAATTCTTTACCAACTAGGTAATGAAGTTTTTCTTAATAATCTGCAGTCAGCTTTTGTGATGGGGAAGTTCTTCAGGATTGCATACATTGTTTTAATAAGAATTCAAGGGAACTTACAAGTATTACTCTTGTGGTCATTCACAATATGCCAGATGGCAGCAATCTTGATTCTTGAGGTCGTAAGGGACTTTGCTCACAAGTGTTGTGTTGACACATGATGAGTAACACGTGTCGTGAAATAACACTGTGCGAAATGGCAAGCAAGCAATATGGCTGTTCCGCATAAGTGTTAATCTAAAACTCGAGTGACTTATCACGTGTCAACACATCACTGGTGTGATATAGGCCTTACTATACTGTCAGTCCATTGTACTAGTTACATAAATATGTTTCATAAACATACCCAATAGTAAGAAGAAACAGGATGTTCTTTTGCAAATGACTTTTCTTTGTGAAATAAACTTGTATTGTATTAGTAACAACATAATATCATTGATATTGCTTTTTTCTTCATACATGAATTTTTCATCACTCATGGAAATAAGTTGATTTTGAGTTGTCGAAAACAAGAAAAATTGCTAGTGTTATTTCAGATAAATACAGTAGTGTGCAGCCCTCTTTGTTAAAAATAATCTCATTTAGAAATTGGTATCCTTTATTGACTCAGTTATTTGTTTCAGCTATTCCCCATATGACCGATTCTGCCCGTTCTACAAGACAGTAGGCATGCTAAAGAATATGATCTCATTTTATGATATGGCAAGGCATGCTGTTGAATCTACTGCCCAAACTGAGAACAAAATAACATGGAATATTATTCGTGAAAACATGAGCAATATAATTTACCAGTTGTCATCCATGAAATTCAAGGTAATTATTTCCATTAATGATCTGACCATTGATTCGAGTATAAGATGACCACCTAAGTTTCAAGAGGCCTATTGAAATTTTTAATTTTATGTAAAATTAAATCTTACTTATTAGTGAAAAATAATTGCCAAGTCAAATGATTGAATTGCTAATGAAAATATGAAAACGTGGTATTGCCTGAGCTATCATATTTTTTTTCTTGTTCTGTAAAATCATTGTAATCATGATTTTTGTCCCTACCATCTTCTCATATCAAGGTTTAATTTATTCCTTCTCCCATACTGTGCAGTGTCAGACTTTTTAGGCCCTCTTGAAAGTTTTGCATGTTGAATTTGCATCAATCTGTGATTTGATGCTACCTAAGAACATTCCCTTCCGTGCCACCATTTTCTTTTTTCTTGTCACACTCTTGTTTGTGATCTGCTTTTTTAACAGTTCTTTCATAGAACGTACTTGAAATATTCGTCATTTAATGTTTGCATAATAGAGTTCGAGCTGAAAATTTGTGCATCTCAGTTTTGGGAGTAACACAAGATAGACAAAAGAGAGAGAGGGAGAGAGAGAGAGAGAGAATAGCAATCTGCCAAGTTTTTGCTAAGAATTTTTTTTAAAAATCATTTTGGGTTTGTGTTAGGATGTAGAAAGTGTGCATCTATCAACAGGGCCACCAATGACCACCCAAGAGTCCTTGCAGCCTCATTGATCTGCACATTGTATGACACATTCTTGGCAATGATTTTTATTCATTTTCACATTGCATCTTATTTACTACCATGCCAGTCTTTTGAGATTCTCTTTACCAAAACATTCAAAAATGTCAAATTAACAGTAGATGCCAACACTACGTCCACAAACATAATTATTACAAATTTTATTGTGATATTTTTGTCTCTTTTTTCCCCCATATTGTTGCATCTTGTTTCTTCTTGGTTTGGAAATAAAGTTAAAATGTATAAATCCTAACCAGTAGGGCCTAATTTGCAAATATAAGACAACTGTATTTTTGCAGTGAGATTTTTAGGGGAAGGGGACTCGTATTTGAGTAAAGTCAATGAAATTAATTTTGCCAGATTGCTCTTTGGCAGGAGGAAAGGTTGTTTGGATTTTATAGAACTACCCTATTCATTTTTTCAAAAATTATATTTACCTGAAATTGGAGTTTAAACAATTGTTTTAATTTTAAAAAGGGTATTCCTTCCATTTGTTATAATCTTAACCTGAAGCAAATTATACTTGCAGAAAATCTGGACAATGTTTTGTAGTATGTAATTACATTCTTGATATGGGTTTCTCTATTTACTTTCAGGATCCTGTAAAAGATGGTGAGCAGAAAATAAAGGCAGACTTTGAACAACTTCATGAAGATATGCAGCAAGCATTCCGAAATCTGGAAGACTAATTTGTTAAAAGCCAGTGATTCGGATGTGTTTTTTTTTTAATTTCTGTATATTGTGTATCCTTCCCTGGTACAATACTCTGTTTTGCAGAAACCAGTTTCTTTCCATGTACCCTGTCAACATCGACTGCCTTCTTCTGTCTTCAACGTACCTTATTTCTTGATCTTCCACTGTGTGCCAGGGGAAGTGATTGTGTGAATTTAACTCAGCCCTTCCAGGAAGAAGACAGAAGATTGGCACAACAGTGGTATTTCGAAGTTCTTTTTTTGTGAATTGTGTGCTTATGTACATAGCTATGTATTAACAAGAATCAAATGTTACAAATTTGTATGGTAGAGTTGGTTGGCCTAAGTGTCATTTAATTTACTTCAATCAGACAAAATCAATGAATGAAAATACCATCATTTTTGCGCTGAGTTTGCAGAATGTCCAGGGGAGGTTAACCTGTAGTCACTGTCAGACTGTAGTCTTTTCTGGTAATATGGCCGTAGTTTGGGTTTGTTGGATAATGTGTATATATATAAGTACATACTATATATGTATAAAAATAGAGAATTTTGTTAATTGGTGAAAAGTTTTAATAACTTTGTCATACCACTTGTCTCGTAGGATTATTTTTGGAAAAATGTCATTTGCACAGCTACTTAAATTAAAGTAGTGCCATGGAAAACCATATACTTAATTCTTTGCCATTTGTGGAAGATTGCTGTTAATAGTACTTCAGTTAGTGATTATTTTAGTTTGGAATGACAGTTTTCTTCTAGTTCACTAGTTGTACATGCAAGGAGTAATTATTTATGAAACTCAAGTGGGAAGGGATTGTGGATAATTCTTATTCTGCTATGGGTGGTGGGATTTTACTCCTGTATTTGGTAACTAACTTGAAAAAGACTTAATTTTGGAAAGAGATGGCAGGTTTTGTTTCTTATTTGCATTCCAAGAATTCAGTGGACAAAAAAGTGTTCACCTTTCCTGCATTTTGATACAGTCATAGGAGGAAGCAACTCTGTCAGCCAAACAAGGTTCCTTAACCAAGTATTATTTTTTCTTAGTTTTTGTGGTCTCATTTGTACAGTTTGCAACTCTGCATAATGGCACATACTTACATGATCAACTTATGTTGCAGTCTGTTAATGTGGAAACTTGTGCACATGTAAATTAAAGTTTCTTCATGTTTTGACTGTGTTGTGTGTTTGACTATGTACAGACACTTGAAAAAAGTATTTTTATTATTTTACTCTCCCTTCTATTAACTGTGCATTTGTATGCCATTCCATATCTTGTATATTGGCCTTATCAGTAGATTAAGAAAATGAATTTTGTTTGTAGTGTTTGAATCAATTGATATGAAATTGTTGACTTCTGAAAAAATAACTGCTGTTGAACTGGATGCTGTAGCATTTATAATAGTATTGAATTTGTCTGTGTACAAGAAAAAAAATTGGCTGTTTTATTGTATTTTTAGAGATCTTTTAAAATAATTTGTGGTGGGAATAGTGTTTAAATATATTAACATTAGAGAACTCAAATATTTGTAGTTGAGTGGCAGTGCACTATCACCACAGTATTAAAATATATTATGTAGCCAATGTACAAAAGATTATATAATTTGTGTAAAATAATGAAGTATATATATTTGAAAATGATGTGAAGCTTTTAAGTCAACTGTTAGATATTCCTGTTTTGTCATTTATAGGATTCAATTTTTGTTTTGTCTGTATCATTGTGAAGTATCATGATTCACATCCCTCACCGAGGAATTTCTATGTGTATATTCTTCATGATTGTGTATATTTGTAATTATCCATCAATTTATTAATCAGTCTGGAAATAGTTTCACATACTGGACAATAACAGTTGTGGGATATAAGAATAAATATCCTTCAGTCATGTGTAAGTAAATACAAACTCGCTAAATGAAACATTCCCAGTTCATCGTAATTGTTCATCATTGTTGTCTTTGTTTTGTTGTGGAACGTGAAAATAAACCTGCAAGGTATGAAAAAAAGCTGATACATTTTTCATAGAGATATATATTTTTCCCCTCCCCCTTTGATTTTTACATTAAATTTGAGGACAGTATTTGTATCCAACATGTTTAGATACAAATTTTTAATTACATCAAATAAATTATATTTTTAAAAAAACACAAACATTTTAACCACAAAGATAAGAAAGAATATTAAGTTTTGAACACAAAAAAAAAAAAAACAACAACAAAAAAAAAAAAAACAAGATGTGCAAAATCCTGGCAAGTCTGGGAATTTCTGCTTCTACCATAAAATCAAAGAAAGCTTTTAATGGACTGCCTGCAAAATTTTGCACTTGGTTGCATTTTATAAAACAAGCTGGACCAAGCAGTAATTGTGAAAAAATTAATCTCATTTACAAATTTTGTACACTGTAACAAGTAGAGATGAATTAGCTGATGACTTGCATTGTGTTTGTTTTTGCATATGCACATCTTGGAATTCAATGCAACCTTCCAATTTAAAACTTTTAAATCAATAAATTACCTTTGAAGCTATGGAGAATTGAAATTCCATATTTTGAACATTTTAACATTACTATTAGTACACTTCTTCCAAATAATTCTCACATAAGCTTCAAAAGACTTAGCACGTTCTGTCAATACAAAAGTAATGCTTTTAATCTGCATTTGATCATAGTAAATTCACAAGAACTGTATGTAATCCTTAATCTACTAGTAATTTACATTTTTTTGTACACATTATTATCATACTTTAGTCCTGCCTGCGAAGTCTTGATTGATCTTTGGATTTCAAATAAAGTTTATCATTCTATTTTTTGTATCAAGAGCAAAATTATTTTAAGGAGCAGGTTCAGATTGTCTAAAAACATTATAAAAACAAGATTGCTACCAATACAGTAGATATATAAAAAGTATAAAAATTTACAATTCATTTTCAATGTTTATACCTTGGTAAACAATCCCTTTAAATTGGAATTGTGAAAAATCTAGCAACATGGATTATGATGTTTGTTTCAATTCTGGGCACTTAAGTTCTTAAAGCTAAGAATAACAAAAAATAAGCTTCAGTTTCATGAATTGCAAAAAAGTATGCAAGTGTTTTATCTATGTATTATATGACACAAATCATCTACAAGTATTCAGTCAAAATATGTCAGAATGTTACAAATTATTATGCCAGCATTGGAAATATTGTCAATTTGATGACCAAGTAGAAAATGGTATTGTGGGAAAAAAGAATGCATATTGAGATTTGAGAATAATAAAAGTAATATATTAGAACATGCATCACAAGGGTGTCTTCAAAATAAAATATTTTTTTCACTGAATTAATTTTGCTTCCGTAGCTAAACAATGTTGAATAATAGAAAGTCCAGCAATTGCCAGTGGAGACATTTGGAGCACAAGTTTAGAACTTAAAAACAAACATAAATAAATTGTTGAGAAATATGAGTTGTTGCCAAAACAGGAGCAGTTCTTGCACTTTTCATCTTTCAGTATATGATATCAATGATGAAAAATAACAAATATTTCTTAAAAGAAACTCACCATAAAATGCTTAGGGTAAATATTATTGAAGCTGAACATTTCTTCTCCACTGAGGCTGATGACACCGTGTCATGAAAGTTCAAAGTTGTCATGCAGGCAAAAGGAGTTTTTGGAGCACATGAACTACCCGTATGTACATTAGAAGCTTGGAATTATTATTGCAGAACTAGTAATTATGGGACATGTAGTTTAGCACTATTAACCAATGCTTCAGGTTGGTCTTAAAACCAAATTTTTCTACAAATTAATTGTGAACATCACATAGGTGTTGATTTCAAAAGCTGTTTATTTGCAGCAGTACCTGCTATTCATTCCAGAAATATTTTTTCCTTTCTGGTTTACATAACTTAAAATAATTCAGAAGCATAACTACTACACAAACAAGAAGGGTAATGTTTTTGCCTGTGGATCTTGTTTGTTCATTCTCTTCAAGAGAGTTAGAATAATATCAAGATTTTTTCCTATTTACCCCAAAATTCAAACTTTTGATTAGGTAATCAGAATTATTCTGCATTGCCTGCGGAGTTTCTTATGCCAAGAGTTAGAAATTATGTGTCAAATTTTAAAAATGAGTATTATTAAGAAGAATTACCTATGCATTTGGATTGTCAAATTTTCAGCACAAGGTCCACAATTTGTTCTTACTCCAATGAATGCAATAAGTTTGCAACTCTAAAATAAACAACTACCAGCATAGATAATTGATTTTTCATTGGCAGAAAAATAACAGAGTTAAAGCATATGTTTACAAAAAGCTCACAAAAGTATTTGCACCTGTATACTAATAAAACTATGTTATAGATATATCCTTTTAAGAAGTGGTTTTTTTTTATTGTTGATTAAATGATTATCTACTGACAAAAGAAATCAAAAATCAATTTGCAAAGTCAAACTTTTGTTGTTGTTGACAAAACCATTGAGGCAGCGGACAGTACATTGAAAAGATGACAATTCTGTAACTGAACATGACTTAGTACTTATACTATTCTTTCAAAAACCATTGTTATGTTCGTAAATCATTAATAACTGAATTTTTAAACTGATTATACATCTTACATAAAGCCAGACATCACAGATGAGGAAAAAATTCTACTCCTGGAATGAAAAACAAATAGTATAATCAGCAACGTATGATGTTCTTATGACATCTGGATCACAAAATTGGTATAGAGTTGACTGAATTACCTAATATATAATCCATTTCAAACCTGACCTAAGTTTTAAGACCTTGATTTTGTTTTAAAAAGATAAAATTTAGCACTTATAGAACTGAATTTACAAAGACTTAAGAACATAATTTTGTAAAAAATGTTTATTTCCTTAATCTTATTCATAAAACATTTTAACCCTTAAAAACATTTTTAAAAGTTTATACATTTAAAAATATTTGTTTGATGTGTGGCAAGAAAGTTAATAGAAAATTAAATCTAATGTGTTCCAGCAGTTGTTTGATGTTTACAATGGTACACAATATCATGCTCAATGACTGCAACATTTCTTTAAAAAAAATCACAAACACAAAATTTAAATATTGCTTATTTCTGTGCTAACCTGTTTGCAAGTATTAACCTTGAATTCTACCTACATGCAGCTATTGAAAATTAATAAGTGTTTTGAAGTTTACCAAACTTTTCCCACAAAACCTTTTTCTTAAATTCATAAATCTTTCTCTTGACACTGAAGGAACTATAATTAATTAAAAAATATGATCCCCTGTATGCACCATGTCAAAAAGCTTTTAGTAGAGAAGAAATGAAACAAGCAGAAACATAACTCCAGCGGTGAGAAATTAATTAACTTGTCATGCCAGAAGAAAAGCCTATGGAATAGAGAAGAGAAGAGGAAAGAATCACAATTCTCATTTCATGTTTTGCTTTAACCCTCATAACGGAATCTGGAGGCAAACCTTGCACATTTTCCATTTGATAAAGAACTAATATAATGAACTCCTTTACTGTTTCTAAACTGCCATACACAAAACATTAAGCTAAGTTACTTAAGAAATAAATTTTGTTTGATTTCAAGGGTGCATATATGATGTATCACTAGTACATAAAGAGCTGATGAACACAGTATCATAAAAGAGTTTAATCCTGATAAATTTATCCTTCTCAAAGCACTCTTTCCATTCAATCACAGAAAATTTGGCAAATTAATTTATAAACACCTGAAAGTAATAAATATTTACTAAACCCACCTTCCCAAACACAACTCAAATATCCACACTTTTCAAATGTTATGAATTTACATATTAAAGAACTATTTTTATTAATGACCAGACAAGGGCAAATGTAGACAAGAGGAAAGTTCACGTTATTTTAGTCACAAGCTCTTACAAGATCACCAAAACTCATTTTGTGCAATGGCAAAAACAATACCACTCATATCTGGACATGTTGATTTCAGAACTAGGAACAAAAATGCAAATATTTTTGAAGTTTGTAAATAAATCATGTAACAAAGTGCAGCACACCAAGGAAGGATGCTTTTTCTGAATTCAGCATAAAGCTACAAGCGGTGGGAGAGAGAAAGACTTAACCCTCTGCTTTCCTAAGGTGGGGGCTTGTCATTGAACAATGTGTCTTCTGCTTCAATGTTCAGTCACACTACATCCAGATATTCTTCATTCTTTTAAAAAGTTCCTGAGTTGCACAAAACTCAGGAGAGAGTGCAGAACTGCTGAGTGAAGAATTGGTATATATTTTATCATGTTTATTGTTGTGTAATTTTAGCTGACAATTTATTAAGCTGTCAACTGGTTACTGGTATGTTTGTTATTTATTTATATATTAAATAGCCACTTTCTCCACTGTGTTATGGTAGGTCAGTGGCTTCATTGGTGGTGCACTATGTGGGTATGTGGGATACTTCAATTTATTGGGATTAAGTAAAGATTTGACAGAAATGAAGGGCTCAAAGAATTAGGAGAGCACAGGGTTAAAACCATAGTATAGTTCAATTTTTTGGAAAGAGTAAATGTGATGTTAGCAATGACGAAGTAGAAGTAGTAAAGAAGAAAAGCAGCCCATGAAAATTGCTACAATTCTATTCTTAACTTCCGGCAAGCTATTAATAGAATGAATGAAATGTGATATGCCACTCAAATAACTGACATGAAAGTGTGGGAGTCACAAACGGTCAAACTTAGACTAATATTTGGAACTTGACATTCCCTCTTCATTTTGTTTTTGCAATCCCTTTGCACCACCCATAACTAACATGCTAAAACCAAAAATTGATTGGTCATATGGGTCTACTAAGAAACAAGTACTATATACTATTTTTGGTGTTATCACACTAACATGCCCCTAAGACATGAGAATGAATTACAAGTATAAATTAATATGTTTAACCTTTAATGTGTTCATTGTCAAAGGATATAACATCCTTACATGATATCAAAATCTGCTATTACCTAAATCTCTCGCACACATAAACCCAGTTTTAGAACCTCAGATTTTTAGGTATAATTTGATATTTCTCCACATTTGTAGCCTATGTGAAGCTACTGGCTCAAACTTGCTTAGAGAAAACGTTTAACAATTGGAATGCCTATCCCACATCTCAAAAGCAACTATTCACCAGATAAGGGTAATACACCTTGTATTCGTTTATATTCGATTTACCTAATTGATTTACAATTTTGTTTCAATAACTGTACAAAATTAACTTCAAAACATCTTTTTATAATTATTACATTCTCCAGCGCCCAAACAAATATCTATGTACATATAACAAACATGCAAATTACAAAGCAATAAAACACTCGTGTTTGTGTATGAAAGAAAGAACACCTATCAATAACATATAAATATACCACAAAGGCTCATTTGTATAATTTGAAACTTTTGAAAATGATCTATACATAGTCTTTCAAGACATCCAATCAGGCAATATTAGCCTCATAAACATCATTACAGGCACTAATTCGGCTGATTTTCATGACTCTCCATTTCCTATACAAAAAAGAATTCATCCTTACTCTAGATGATAATATTCATAATAAAAGATACCCCCTGTAACTTGCAGCACTTTAGCAAAGCTGACACTCAACATGACTATCAGCTCTCATTTTTTTAAAATAGTATCAACTAATATGTGTGAATACATCTAAAAATTAACAACTTAACATAACTGTATGCTAATAATCCAAGCTCAGCTTTCTTTTACATGACAGAACATAACCTCTTACTTCTCTTTATATACATATACATTCTTTCTTCAGTTCAGATATTTCTTTCCAAAACATCCAATACATGCAATCGGATTGCATACACATCCGAAATAGTCGACACTCAAAATCCGTATTTCATTCTATTTCAACAACAGTAACAATTTCATATATCACTTAAATGAAGGTATAAAGCACTGACATACAATAGTAACTGCCAACAAGCTTTGGCATGATTACAACTTGCTTCTTCACATTTGGACTTGTCTTTCAAGTAAAAGTTGATCCTATTTTGATGGGAATATTTGATCTAAGGATCAAATAAAAAGGTACAGTTCACATATCCACAAGTAACAAATAAATATGAGTAAAATAATGCACAATGCTCTTATCTGCTGTAAAGAGATTTTGTACAAAAAGTTTTATTACTAAAATTTACTTTCCTTGCAACTTTTTAAAATGCAAGCATACTCTGCCTGCATTGTCTATCCACATAAATTATATAGTGATTTCTTTCAAATATTTTTCATTAAAATAAATACCAAAATGTTTGCAAACAGATCAATTTATGAAAACTTACAGCAGATTAGGCTCAAACAATTTTTTTTACCTAATTGACGTAAAGAAAGGAAAATAGTGTATATATCACAAATGTATATAAATGAACCAATTATTTATCTACATTTCGGGAATTAAAATATGAGAATTTCAATGGCACAAGTTTCAGAGATAAGTTCTACAATTTTTAACATGTGAGAAAAAACTGATCATATGAACAGTGCAAAAGTAATCTCACATGCATTACATTGAATGTTCTGACATCTCTTACAAACAATTTTTGAGTAACGGCACAAATTAGCAAGAAGATTCACAAGCATTACTACTGTGACTTTTTAAATTGCCTGTCATTTATAAGTTGATTAATGTAACATTTATGAATTAAACAGCACAACTATAAAGAAGGTTAAATTTAAACATTAAAAAAAAAAAAACATTCAAATCATATTCTCACCATTAGCTACTGCAGGAAAAATCAATGTAAACATGCAAACATCAATAATGTTTAAACAATAACATAAACTAAATGTAGTACAGTCAAGCAGCAAGGATCTTAATATATTCACAAGTATGAAAACTCTTAATACAACATAACTTTCATCAATCAGAAGTTTACAAATCATGCAGACCATAAGAATGCAATGCATATGCGACCAAATCTACATACACTGTTCTCACAAAAAACAACAACGAAATGCCTCCAAAAGGCAAAACTGACTAACCCTTTTATCACAAACAAAACAGAATTATATAAATTGTCAAAATATTTATGTATATGTGTGTATGAATATTTATTATAGATATATATATATAATATACATAAAAGCAGCAGACATCCCTTAAGGATCTTGAATTCTGAGTTTAAAAATTTAGCAGGTCCACAAACAATAGAGCCCACTTGACACGAGTAGTTCAAAAACTTTAAAACGTTCTGTTGACAACATGGGTAACACATGATTACACAAGATAAAATTAAATAATGTTCCAGAAATTCTTGTAGGAAAATAACACCTAAAAAGAATAACACTTGTTTTTTAAAAATATTTTGAAGCACACACGACTATTCCTAGAATTAGCTTTTGGTGTTTCAGGTGGAAATTACTCCTAATGATATTCCATAAACATTCATTTAATCTCAACAAATGAAGGTTGCAAACATTTCTGACAGACTAAAAAATTTAGTCAATGCAAATTCCACACTTGCACAAACACCCAAGAGATTCAAATTTAAGAAAGCAATTAGGAGAGTAATATTAGAATATTTTCCCACAAAAATTATATTTTGGCATCACTGTCATGAAAGCAAAACCACTTTGGTCAAGCTTGCAAAACTTTCACATATCTATATTAATGATACTACTCTTATTTCTACTTGTTCGCGTGAAATGTCTGCCGCTTGTCTCAGATACTTGACTGGTGTGAGTAATAGCTGCATCTCAGTAGTGCCACTACGTCACATGCAATTCAGGTGAAGGTGGCAGAATGCCTTGTTGAGTCAACTGTGATCGCAGTACAGCATTCTCGCGTTTCAATTCTTCATTTTGTTGCCGCAGAAGTTCCATCTCCATTGCTAGGGCCTCTTTGTCCTTGGCGCTTTCAGCAAGCCGTTGGTTTGATGTACGTAGATCAGTGATATACTCACAAGCCTTCGCCAAAATACCACCTTTGCTCTGGAACAAATAATAAATTGTGTTTGCATAAGAAATCCAGTTGTCAAAAAAAGGGTGCTCAGGCAACCTTCAAAACTAATTTCTTAAGTCGATAATAAGCATATTTTGTTGAATAAACTCTTTTGATATCTCAAATGGCTTGAGCCATTTGCCACAATAAACACTCCAAATTGGTTTGACAAAATACCATCTACAAAACGTTTCTCTAAAACAATTTAATTATGTAAATAATAAACAATTTACATGTTTCTGGAGAGCTTATATGTTTTATAAAATGCATATCTCGCATAAAAAGCCTTTTTTCAAATCAACTTTTGAGTGCTTATTGCGGCTTAGCCATTCAAAATCTCAAAGGAATTTATGAGACAAAATATGCTTAAAATTGAGCTTATTTTCGAAGTTGCATTGTCTCCTCCCCAGACACCCCATATATGTAAACATAAAGATAAAGAATTTAAGGGCTTGAGTGGTTGTGATGTTGTCAGCACTAATGACAGAGCAGGAAGCCTTGAGCAGGACAGTGGAAAAACAAGTGAAGGGGCTAGAGACAACAAAGGAACGGTGTGAATTGAATGGCAGAAGTGAATACATTCTTGCAGATTATCCTAACTTAATTTCTGTGATATGTAGTTCCTAGTGTTTTCTAATAGCATTTAATATTATATAATTTATCTTGGTTCTTCCTATTAGCTTTTTTCCCCAACTGTTTTTAAAAAGGTAGAACTTAAGACTGTCCTTGTGGAGTGTTAATAGCATTTATAGAAAATATTAATGGTAAATTACAGTCATCAGCTGAGCCTTTTCTGTCGAACACAATGTGAAGGTGACCAAACACACTATTATCATCTTTCATCAGTATCCTTATTTTGCCATAAAATAAACTAAATCAACAATATTTAAATCAAACAAATAAAGAGATAAATAAAAGACTAAAGAAAAGATACATGTTTTGTTGTAGTGGAAATGGAAGGTTAGGAATGATATATCCTCTCTAGAGAATGTATCCTGATACTAAAATGAACATTGGAATTGTACCACATGATATATGAAACATAGGTATGAGTGTATCATCAGCAGTACCTAGTACCTATAGTGGTACGGTAGTACCTAGTACCTATAGTAGTATGGTAGTACCTATAGCATCGCCTTGCTGCTATAAATGATATTTCCAATTATATTTTTTCTTTCCATACACTAAAATGCAAAAATGGTGAGAAAAAAGGAATAAATTTTTTTTCTAGTCAAGTGTGCCTTTTTTCACATTATAAAATACAAAAAATTTGCAATTATAGTCCAAGTTTCATTACCATTGCCGCATTTTTATTCATACTACCTCGAGGTAGTGTAGGTATACATCACTGGCAATGCTGCACTATCCACTAAATATTGGTTTCAAAAACTTGTGACTAAATTCTCCTTCACAGATGGGGACAGTGGTGGTGCACCTTAACCACAAATAGTGTACTTTCACTTCTATTATAACACATATAAAAAAAAAAAACACCACCACCACTTCACAATCCCCTAACAAAACTCAAGAATCTAATCACAGAATCATTGGATTCCAAGATCACTTTGGGCTCTAACAGTGATAACAGCATTAGGCACTGATATCCTGCGAGCGCGAAGGAAGATAAACAATCTGCAACCTTGCATAGTTGCTGTTGCAATTTTTGTGGTAACATCACATCATTTAGATAAATATCCCACCATTTATCTATTTAATTCTCATTGTCTCAAAAATTTTCCTGGCTTTCAACAATTATTCTCAAAACTCACTGATTTTCACTAGACTTTGTTCACGTTTTCCGGAAAGCAGCCAACCTGCTTATGTGCATCCTCCAAAAATCACTTACTTGGCCAGCTTTCGCACTCTCTGACGAACAGTCTGGAATGATCTTGCTCAGTCGTATTATCCAATTGTTGATTTTGTCCCGCCGCCGCCTCTCCACTTCATTGTGAGTAGCGCGCCTGCGGTCGTCCCTCTGCAAAGTCTGAAGAATTAGGCTAATTCTGCCCAGAAGGAACAGCATGCCGAGAGCAGTGGTATTCAACTGGAGAACGGGCAAATGAAAACAAAGAGGAAAGACAAGAAGGGCATACAGGAAGAAATAGGAGAGGGAGGAAAGGGGATAGAAAGAGAGGCAATAAGACCGAACGATGTTAGTTATTAACAGTTGTTTTCTCAATTCACTTTTTGTAGCCCTGATTAACACAGGGGTGGCAATGATCTTCCCCTGCTGGATGGGAAGATCCAGCACCCTGTTGGCTTGTAGGGTTATTACTCGCGCAACTTTTCTTGAACGACGACCTTGATCCCCCTCCCTTCTGCAATAAACAGTTGAAGGCAAAAGCTCGCAGCGGGCACTGATGACAACCTTCCAAGCATTAAAACTTCGTTGGCACGAAACAGAAGCTAGTCAAAGCCAGTTGCTTTCATAGTGCAGAAACCCTGTTCAGATTTATTGTAAATATCGAAAGAAATGGCAGTCAGGTCTAGGTCCTTCAAAGGAGTCAACAAAAACTCCCGAAAAAGTTAAGCACAAGATGCAGTTTTGACTTTCATTTCTCAGACGTTGGCATTACTTAAAATACTCTAGTTGCCGACTTTGTAACTAATACCCCCACTCCACCCGAAATCGTCAATCCATCGTTCAAGAAAAGTTGCCCGAGTAATACCCTCAACCAGGTATCTCCCACCACTGCCCCAGCCGGGACAAACTCTAAGCCAGGGCCTTAGAACTCCCGTATAGTGTGGTGGAAACCATTAAGGTGGGACAGTCTGCTGCAGCAGCTTCTTACAGGAACTAAAGCACGAATTGCTGCCAACGATACTTAAAACGTGCATGGCTGCTGCGTAAGAGGCGGGTCATAAACCGGCCCATAATGTCATAAACCGCCCCAAAAGACAAGAGCCATGTTCGCGCTTTTTTCAGGGGTTTCTTATATGGGCATATTATGAATGATTGAACATTTAAAAGACACTTTTTCCTATTTCTCACAAATTTGCCAATTTTTATGTGCGGAAGTTGGCACACCTAACCTGCAGCTGTACCCAGGAACACTAACGCCTTCTAGAGTAGCACCCTCGAGCTTTGTCCCCTGTCTTGACGGAGAGTTGCAAGGCTCTACTCTAAGCTCCCGACTAGCCTCCTGATGGCCTTGCCCTCCAAAACCAGTTTTTGCAACCCTCTTCTTCACAACCCTCTCATACCTTTCAGTCAATTAGGACACTATTTGATTGACATTACTATTTTATTGAAAACATCTTATAGTGTTCTACCATGTGAGTTTTCAAAAACTTTCAGGGCACAAATTGTTACTGTTAACAAGTGTCAACCCCATACTTAACTTCAGGGGAAAAGGGCACACAAGTAGTATGAATACCACTGCTTGGCATAGGTATTGCAAAGGCCATTGTTTCATCTGACAAAAGTTTAATTTCACTACTCACAGAAGCTCCTCCTCGGGACTTCTCAATTTGAATTGTAGATCGTGAGGCTCTAGGGGCTAAAGACCTGGGGCTCTGAGCGCAAAGCATCTCCTGCGAACCAATGACGTAAAATTGACCTGCAACACAAAGTAACACCTTCTTAACTATTTACCTTTAAGCACATGACTTCTAGACTACCATATATACTCTTATAATATCTGCATCTTTTTTTCAATATTTGGTAGTTGAAAATTAGGGTGCGGGTATTATATGAATCAAGTTTGGTGCCGCGAACTTGGAGCGTGTTGCACATGGTCACATAGCAGCGAGATTTAGGAGAAAGCATTCTCTGAGTTGTAGTACATGTACATCAGTCACCCAGTGTTAATGTCTTCTGCAAGTTCACAAAACAAATCTTTCATCGCAAAACGCATCAGGAAGAAGTATGATGTGGATGAAAGTTGCATGTTATTAGTGTAAGAACAAAACATCACTTGCATTATTTTTCTTTTATTGATATGCAAGATTATTTCAATATTAACAACATAATATATTAATGTAACTATTTTTTACAAAAAAAAGTGAAAGCAAAAAATAAAACAATTTTTTTCTAGATTCTTTTCCATAAAATTAGGGTGCGTATTTTATTCAAGGGTACGGATTATTCGAGTATATATGGTATTAATTATAAAAATAAATATAAACAGAAAACTTCAATAAACATATAGTTATAACAAAAACCAACTTGCATATTTGAATATCACAAATATGGTCAGATTTATTAGAATGGTTGGTATTTTCAGACGCATGAAAGCTTATAAAATACATTAAACAAAAGTAGTTTGTTTATAATTAACTGGTAATTTTTGAAATTGAAATGGAAAGCCAGGATTAAATAAATTTCATGGTTTTTACTTGATTAGAAATGCACTGAAGAAGCAGTATAGCTCTACAATTTCACAAATAATGTGAAGATCAGGAATGAAAAGAATAATCACCACATAACAATAATAATACTTTTTATAAATATATGGATCTATAATTTTTGTATTATATTATTTATAATTTTAATGATGTATTACAATTTTTAAATTATTACAAGACTTGCATTGTAAAATCACATCAAATAATAATTAGAAAGCAACCCTTCAAAAGTGTTACTGTGTCTGCGTTGAAAATAAAATGCAAGCAACCAGCAGTAAAAAATAAATATTACATGAAATGAACCAACGAAAAATACTGCTGAAAGTCTGTTCCCAATAGCAGACTATTTTTTCACAGGTTCTACAATAGTTGAGAATCCCCAAAGACAGCATTGTTCAGCAATTTTTTTTCTTCCCCCTGCCAAATGGGCTGATCTTCAGCTGTTAAGGCCTGAAAGCATCAGTTTGATGCAAGTAGATACAGGATATGAATAGCCTTCACAAGCAATTTACATTTTCCAATATCGTCACTAACAAAATTTTAAAAATTAATAAAAGTTTTGAAAAGAGCAGATTATAATGTACATTAATTTGAATTAAGTAATAAAACTGCTATAGATGGAAAGGCCATACATGTTGATTTTCAATGAGCAATGTTATTAACTTTCATCATAATTTTAATAAAATTTTCAATAGATTAATGAAATAATTATGCATGTACATAATATTTCTAAAAAAGGAACTTTCAAAGTGTACTTATCTTGTATTCAAACTATGAAAATACATTGATATTATGTGAACATTCTCCTATTATTGGAAATAATAGGAAGTACAACATCCCCAAAACAAGTCAGCCACCATTAGAGAAAAGAATTCAAATCATTTATGATTTACCCATCAACCACACATCCTATTTGGTTTGGGGTAAATGAGAATTAAAAATAATAATAGTAATAATAATAATAACAATAGTAATAATAATAATAATAATAATAATAATAATAATAGTAATAATAATGACCACATTACTGAACAGACCATTATGGTTTTAGGCCTTCTCATATATTGCAGTCAAAGAACACAAAAACAGAAGCAGACTGAATGGGTACCGAATGGGTATGAAATGGAGCCTAAGAACGCACACTGCTCCCTAGCAAGTACTGAGAAAAAGAGATAAGGATGTGAGATAAGGGTCCCTCATGAAACAGACTAAGGACCATTCAACTCAAGAACCCTTCACTCAGCACCATTCAACAGTGCTTTCAAGTAACATGACCGGCGGTAAAGCATTGGCTTAAATAGAGGTTTATACACAAATGGTGTGCTAACACTGCCGCAGGGGCGGTCAGTAGATAACTTGCAATCCACAGCACAGAAGCACACTTGTGCCTGCGTCACAAACCGAACACAGTTCTAAATGACAGCGCCACACTAGACATGCCACTGCATTGGTGTTTACCTACTGCCTGCCTTTTGGCCGCCTAAGCGCAGTGGTGAGACTTGCGAAACCTTCCTCTGATGCAGTCAGCAGAAGCTGTGTGTGAAGGGCTCCACTGCGCGAAGGCCCCGTAACCAAAGTGAATGTAGATGTATTACTGTCACTCACCATTGATAGGATTTGTGAGGACGGCTTGCTGCACTCCAGCTGTTGCTGAAAACCCTGGAGCTGCAGTAACAATTTCTGAGAGTGAATCTGCAGAGTCTCCAGCGCCTCCCAGCTGGACAACTCGATACGTGACAGTACCTGCATGCATAAACAAAACAATTTAGATGGAAAATACACATAAAGCTTTATATCTACTAAATTAGAGGTTCTCAAACTGTGGAGGGCAATGCTGTAGTTGTACAAGGTGGAACACGAGAAATTTTGAAAGAAAAAAAAAAAGGTGGGGGGATGATTATCAAAAAACAAGCCTATCCGTTAGTGTTTATTAAACCTATTCTGAATATATCTTCTTATTTATAATTTTTTTTAAAATTTGGTAATAATCATATAGCTTTGTAAATTGTGTTTTATTTTATTTTAATATTGGTTTTCCAGGGTAACTGTAAAAATATATAAATTTAATAGCATAACTTAATTTTTATGTTATCTTGTACTTGCTTTTTATGAAGAGAAAAAAAAAAAAGCAAATTTATTACAACACAAATATATTTACTATATATAATACATTATAGAGGGCACAGTTGTATGGCACAACAGGAAGGAGGGGCTGAAGTGAAAACGTGTGTTAAATCCTACAACAAGAGTCTGTCAATGTCCTTTTATTACTATAGTTATCAAAATTTCCACTGCATTCATGAGATCTGCTTGTCGACTGACAGATCTCATAATACAATATTGGAAGTAATAGTTGAAAAGGTCTGTTTTCCCCCAATATGTTACATTTGTGTAACTGATCTTACTTGGTTCTATGATGGTATGCTTCTAAAAATATGTGACAGAGAAAATAGAACATTATTTATCACTTACAAAAGACATTTAATAAAGGTCGTGTATGCATTCAAGCACTAAGTTTCAAGACTATATTGCTATTTATTTCCAGCAGCCTCTGACAGATAATCAGCTGTAATCCAATCGGGAGCTTTCAAGTCACTACAGTGACATCACTAAGGTGACATTAAACCTCCCGATTGGATGACACTGTAACAGCTGATTTACTTCAGAGGCAGCTCTAAATAAAACCAAGTGTAAATTCTATTTATTCAAAAACATTAATATTCATAACTAGCATATAGTGAATATTACGTTAAAAATGAATAATTTATTTCCATGCCTTGTATGTTTTTTAATGTGTAACCCAGAATATTGAAATTACATGCAATATGATTTGTTTAAAGGTACTTTAGAAATTCAGAATACTTCCATCATTTGGAAGAAGCTAGCTCAATCTCGTGTGCTTATTAACACTCCTTTACAAATCAAATTCTCAGGCATGCTGGCTGGTTTCTTCAGAACTTAAAAGTTTTATTCTGAACCCCTTAATAAAGGAAAAACAAGGGAAAAGTGCATCAAATGTGACAAGTGTTAACCCATTGAGCCAACAAAGTACAATGACAAGGCTAATGCAAAAAAAACTGAGTAATAAAAGAATAGTTATCTGGAGAACTTGTGAAACACATTCTAACTCAAACTGTTTCACATTTATTTTGATATGATAAAAACCAATTTGGTCAAATGTTATTTATGAATGGTGACATCAGAGATAGCATCATTTTAACTAAAAAAGCTCTGTCATACACATAGCAATCAATTTAAATAATTTATTCTTTACTAAGAATCTGACTTCCATTGCTTTGTTTCATAACACTACGTACAAAAATGCATGCTACGCAATAATCGTTTATAAATAACTACCATAACCTCACACTACCTTCTTGAGAGCGGAACTGGTACTGAACGTCTTCATCTGTAGTGTCGAGAAGTCCTTGTGTTTGCACCAAATCTGCCACAGCTGTCTGATCTTCTCCAGAACCCAATGATCCATCTTCTTCAACGATTGGTAGACTCTGGGCCGCAACTACTAGGTCTTGACTTTCCGCCAAACATCCATCACTAGCATCACCGTCCTTATCTTCACTGTTTTCAAAAATAGTTTCGAAAGTTAAACGCGTTACCGCACAGTTTTGTAAGTTTATCTCGTTACTATTCATTTTCAGCTCGATTTAGCACCTAGGATTCGCGCTACTGCTACTTGTCGGATATGTCAGTCTTAATTAAAGGAAAGGGTGGCTACGACGGCAGACTGCACGCTATCTCATGTAAGACAAAATAACCACTGGAAAAGCAGAACTACACAACCACGCACACATCGATCACAAACATACACTGCAACATCATGAATTTGGCATCATGACTTATCAAGATTATGGTAATGATTAGGAGTTTATGTGCAACATCATTTTTGAAGAAGGTGACCTTCAATAATGGATTAACGATTATTATGTAATACATATAACATTCGTCTGATTCCGAAACTTCTCGTTAGCAACATACCTGTTTTCCAGTGTATGATCTAACATATCCATGAGAAAGCACTTGTAAACTTTTGAATTTGCCAGGAAGCAAGCTGGACTGATCACGGGGCCAAACAACAGGGTCATGTGAGCACCATGTAATGGCTGCCTGCCTGCCTTATCGTTGAAGAATTGAGAGATGAGATTACGTTATTACGATTTTATTACTTTAACGCCTGCTTTCACAAGAAATTAAATTAGTTAATTAATTAAACGACATTATTGATGTACGTAAGGAAAAGTTTTTTTATCAACCTCTTTTAAAATAATTAGATTAATAGAGTGCGTTGTTGCAAAACTTTGACTTGTGGAAGGCAGTATCGACTTTCCTGACATCTCTTGTGGGGTTTCAGCACTAATTGAATTGATTTTAGAAGTGCCATCTCGCGTGTAAATATTTAGTGCGTGGAAGTATACGTCTTTAGTTGCGTACGAGGTTATTTCTGTCTGCCTGGCGTTGTTGCGTATTGCTTAACCCTTTGTCACAAATACAACTAGAAAATGTTGGATTTATTTACCATCTTTAGCAAGGGAGGTATTGTGCTTTGGTGTTTCCAGAGCACGAGTCAGATTTTTACTCCATCTGTCAATGCCTTGATAAGGAGTGTTATACTCCAGGTAAAGAAGCTGATGATAATGCACATTTCAGGAAATAAATTTTTGCATAATTATACACAGTTATGCTTGTGTATATTTGATTGGATTTTTATATAAGTCGATAATGAATAAAATTACATTTATTATGCACTTCTTAGGAGATAATCTCACGTGTGAAAAATTTGACATATGTTAGATGTGTCACATGGCAAGTCTTTTGCATTTCAGGAAAGGACATCCAGCAACAGTTTTGATCATAATGCCTTGACATTGAAGTATAAACTGGATAATGAATTTGAATTAGTTTTTGTTGTTGCATATCAGAAAATACTGCAATTGTCATATGTAGATAAATTTTTAAATGATATCCATTTGGAATTCCGTGACAAATATAAAAATGACTTGCAGAGTGGAAGGTATTTTCAGGTACTGTATTGAATTGCATTGCATTTGTGCTCTTAGTAAATATGGTGTGCTCGTTACCAAACTAATTAATAATATATACATTACATTTTTATAATATTAGCATTTATAAAAGAAGTAAATTCTTCATAGATATGTGTCATATTTTTCTGTTCTAATTTATCAATCAAATAATGTGTTATCATTTTTTAATGTTCAGGACTTTGAGTTCATCAGTGCATATCATGCAGTATTGCACGAGGCTGAGATATGGGGAAAAGAACAATCAAAAATACCCAAGCAGATGAGAACTTTTGAAGAATCTTTAAAGTCCAAAAAGACTGTGGCATCTATGATTGAAAGGAAAGGTGAAGAGAAAGAAAACAAAAAGAGTGGTAAGTTGTAAGTGGTTTGTTTAATTTTTTTCAAGTTAAAAGAAAAATATTAATTAAAAGAGTCAATGAATGCATCAATGAATTTTAAGACAAAAGAAAAACAAAGGAAGAATTCAATAGTAAATTGTCTTCAGCTTTTTTGTATAGAAAATAATAGACGAATGGCACACTTAATCTGTATTGATTAGGTATTCATTGATTTCACACTTCTTTTATATTGTTTTACTATATACACTTCTTTTCACTTC